GTTAGACCTACCTCGGGTAACTAACTAATCTGTTAGACCTACCTCGGGTAACTAACTAATCTGTTAGACCTACCTCGGGTAACTAACTAATCTGTTAGACCTACCTCGGGTAACTAACTAATCTGATGACTTGAAATTAGAACCATTGCTGTAGTGGCACTAAACTTGCTACTGGTGGAATGCACATTATGTGCCTCTTCCACCAATTGGGTGTCATGATTTTCATGAGTATGGTACCACTGCAGTAATGGCATCTGTTCAATTTAGTCAGTAAATCTGAGCAGCTTGTTTGCATCATGGTAAACAGGTCTGTCATGAATAGATCCTCCAGTCAGATTCTACTCTGTGAACCACATCATGACCAGTGGTCGAATTTCATGAAACAAAACAACTTAACCGCAATGCCATTACCTCATGACTGGAGCATGTTACAAACCAACACATACAGAGTGCCAAAGTGTGGTGTCATTGTGAACCAGGAAGTACAAAGTAAACGAATGGAGTATGTGGGCATGTTGGTTCACGCGCTGGTTCTCGCAAAAATGCCTTTTAAATACATAATTGTGCATGTGACGTAATCACTTGGGCACAGTCTTGCTCAACATGCGCTGGCTAGAAGGTCATGCAATACAAATGCATCTGTACATGTACTTTTATCTCCAAGACATTTAAGCTCACACAATTTCTTTGTTTACAAAAATTTCAAAATTGTAGATAATATGCTATTCATAGTTAAATATATGTTACAAACAGTGCTATAGACTGCTGGGTTTGCAGTGGTATTGATGCTATAAGACTGACATTAACCTTAACTGATTAATATCAGGTATTTGTGTGAGGACCCAGAAATAGATCCAGAGACACAGGCTGCCGTAAACTGTCCACCAGACAGGTTAATCTCAGGTACAAAGGCACGTTTGTTTCCAGAAGTGGGGAGTGATGACCAGGAAGAATTTGTGACCTGATTTATATGCATTGGGAATTGTGGCTTTCAGATTATGTAACCTGCAGAGTGTAATCTTTATTCAAGCATTTTAAATTTAAGAAAGTCCGGGATGGAAATATACTTAATGTCCGGTAATGCTGTTTAAGGTAGGAATAGCAGTTTTTGACCATTGCTTGAAGCAGTGAGGATAGGGCTTGGTGCCTAGTCTTGGTTCCAAGACCTTCATGTACCTTCAGTTTATCCTGTGATTACAAGCCATCACTGTAAGGGTGCTATCTCAAGACAAACCAAAATCACATGCATATTAAGGTCTTGGATATTTCATTTGATCTGAAGTGGTAAAGACTAGTGATGATGGATGCATTATGTATATCATGTGAGTGAGAAACAGCAGAAAGTATGTGAGTGTTCTTCAACATGCTTCACGTTGAGGCAGGACGTTTTCAAACTGAAACATCAACTGACATGGTTTAGCTGGATGCTCAGAGCTAAGCAGACACAAAGTGTATCCTACTGCATTCAAGGGACAGCAGCTAAGAGTTTGCCATGTCTTGCCGTATCACACATGGATACAGTCACGACATATGTCGTATCCACTTGCTTTAGCACTACAAATTGGGTCCATTTCTTCCTCTGACTGGCAATCGACAGGATGAATGCTCATTAAGTAGCTGCATATAGGTAGTTCGCATAAAATAATCTATCAGCGTATCCTAAAGGTATGTTACAACATCCTAAATAGCATTTTACGCAGACATTTTCAGACTTTGAGATCGGGTGCTATTTTTTTTTTTTTCAATTTTCATGAACTACAGGTAACATGAGTAATTCAGCATAGTGCTCAAAATTGATTGATTGATTTGATTGATTGATTGATTTTGATTGGCTCCCAAAAAAGTCAAGAAAAACAATGAAACACATAATAACCACCAAACGAAATGTCCAAGACCTTCCCTCAAAGTACATGTCGGAATGGGACCCAAATAAATAAAGCGCCCTCAGCAGTTTGAATTAATCCATTTCGGCTAAACGTAGGAACACAAAGGTCTTGGACCAAGACTACTTGACCTCGGGCAAACCAGCTTGACCATATTCCAGTGCCTAAAACTGACAGTTACATGTGACATGTATTTCCCACCGAAGCATGATTCATCCAATCACATTCAGCAATAAAAAGTAAACGGTTGGAAAGTGTCTTAAACATCCTTGTTTTGTGTTTTGACAGTCAGCTGCATGCCAGTGGCTGGTACTCAGTGTGACGGTGAGATTTATAATGGTTCTGCAATAGCACCAGGTCTAAAGAGGACAGTTCCCTGTAGATACACGTAAGTTGCAATATATCTCAAACACAGAGGCATCACACCCTTTTTGAACTTCGGATTTTAGACAAACTGTCTTCCCCTATTGTGATTATCTCAGTTGAGCAGATACACTCACAGTATTGATGAAAGCCATGTTAGTCACTGGCAGCCGAAAGGGAGGCCCAACTGCTCCCCCCCCCAACTTTTTCGACGGGGGGCATGGCCCCCCACTTTTAATGGGGTGGGGCTTAATCGATCCGCTTATTAATGGCTGATGGTCTAACAATTGGGCCCCCCCACTATGAAAATTGATCCGCACACATTAGCCTATTTGAGGAAGGGCGGACACAGTAGGAGGGCGCTCTTTGGTTTGGGTAAAATTTGTTGTATTCACTCCTGTCTCCAACTTTACCCACTTCATATACCCCCCTCTTATTGTGTCTGCCATGCTTCAAAAAGGAAGTTGAACTTTCCCGACTGGGCACTTTTACCACAACCCAGTGTTAAACATTCTTTTGCTTAAGTCTTCCATTCGCTTCTATTTGGACTGTGACAGAATGTTAATTCCTCATGCATGGTTGGCAAATGTAGTGCAACGCTGGAGTCCAGAGTGTCTCTGTACGCTGACGTTAGTCAGCTACCATACTGTGTGAGTGGTTACATGACAGAAACTTCCTTTTTTTTGTCGCTACCAAAACTGGCTTTACAATCACAAAATCTGGTCATTTCTGTCATCATTTGATTTGATGCACATTTGCCATAATATCCATGAGGGAAATATGCACGATACCATGCTATAAAATGTAGCAATGTGTGTGCATACATATCAACACACACAAAGGGGTCAAGGGATCATCTTCACACAGGGCAAATTACAGTTCGTTCGCAGATTAGAAAGTTTACAGTGTGGTGCTGTTCTCATTGGATTAATTGGGGCCCTGTAAAAATACCACGGCTCTCGAAATTTCCACCACCACTCTCTGCCTGTTTGGACGTCAGTTGTTGGGATATTCTTATTGGACAAAATTTATTTCTGTTGGTCATTTGCAATAGTTTTACCCAAAAAGAGTTGAATGAGAGCATGGTTTAAGCTGTCATCAACCCATCAACATTCAGTGGTCTAACTGCTCTTTATTGTTCTCTTGATGAAGTTATTGTGTTAGTCAGTCAGATATGCTATCAGCCTTCACATGGAAGGCTTTTAACCACTTCATGCCAGGGCATTTTTCAATGTTGATGATGCTAGACCGGCATAATTATCATTTTTTCCGTTTTCAAAATTCTTCAAAAATTCATCATTTCATTTAACGGACATTTATAGCCGTACAAAGTAATCTTTAGGCACTACTCTAAGTTGACAGGTGACCTTCATTGACGCCCGAGTATTTCAGCCAGGCCTGCAGCCTTGTAAAAAGAGCCCAGATTGTGCGGTTTTATGTAACTTGCTTTTGTTCACGAACCTGGCTGAGTGCACTGCTGACCTCTTTTCAATAGGGGCCAGATTAGCGTGCAGCAGTGCTGTGTGGCTCATCGCTGCGGTGGTGGAGTGCTTTTGTCCCTGGTGGTAATCCGCTCGCTCTAAATGCCCCAAACCCTGGTATACGGTTTCAAAACAAGGCTGGATTATCACCACTTTTGAGAGTGAAAAATGTCGATAATGCCCAGCAGCCTGGTCTTTTGTTCGGAGTACGGTCTTTTGTTACAGGGCCCTGTTTCATTTGTCCGAGTTCAGAGACCCCGGCCACGCATGTAAAGCATACGTCTGCAATTCCGGAGTCCCCGGCAGGAAGTGGTTAATATCTGGAGGATTAGCAAAAACTCTAAATAGAATAATTGCAAGGTGCTTAAGAACAGGGGCTTGGCATTTCTTCAATATCTTGGTGTAAGTGGCTGCTTAGTAGTATAATGGTAAAGTAAGGTATTGCTTAAGAGTGAATACTGAAGTGAATACTGAAGAACAGTAAACATTTCATTCACATTTTATAGGTATCATTTTCGGATGTAAAAAAGGTGAACAAGTGGGAAGGTTATCATGCGTTTTGTACTTCATTCACATGTAGGTGAAGGGATATTGGTATCCCTTGTGATATCAGTACTGGGAGAGCTTCCTTAGGGGAATCAGGTTGGTGTGGTGTTTCTTTCCTCGCCTTCCACCTCTAGGGGCCTGGGTTCAAATCCAGCTTGGTCCACAAGATTGGGTTTTCAGTCCCTACCTGAGACCATCCAGGGTTTTCCTCCCACCTCTAAACTGAACATTTCTTCATCGTCTTCTTCACTCATTATCATCCTGTAATTGACACAAAATGCGCCCTGGGATATAAACAGATATACATTTGTAAACAAGTAGATATTTATGTAGAGTATTTTTCTTTGTTGCATACTTTGTTGAATATCCACTTGACGACCAGCTTCCGTGGATTAACTGCCCGGTTTGAACCAGTACATGTACTTATGGATGTTCTCCATCAGTGACATTCTGTGGACGTTTTGTCCAGTTGTTATGCAACTTGTGTAACATTACATGTGTGTGTGTTTTTGATGTCCATTTAGGACCGGATACTCGTACTCTACCTCCCTACTTCTCTCCATATTTCTGGGGATGTTTGGTGTGGACCGCCTCTATCTTGGCTACCCTGCTATTGCTGTGCTCAAGTTCTGCACTGTTGGTCTTCTCTTCATCGGCCATTTCCTAGATGTCATACTCATAGCTATGCAGGTTTGTGCCAACCTTTGTGTGGATGTGAGAATCAAACAGACCCATGTGAGGCAGGCTGGGTAAACCTTGCGTGGAACAAGCCAGGTCCATACAGGGTTTTCCTGTAACACAGACTTATAGATCGTATCTTGGTCAGGATTATCTGTAATGAAAGGAAGAAGAACGGTTTATAAAGATGCCATGAACAAAAATCCAGCTGAGAATAGTGTTAATGGTTCAAGAAAAATGAGTAATCTCATTGAGTTTTCTTAAGTACAGAAGAAAAAAGGAATGACCACTCTAGGTATTTATCATAAACATGTGTTCCTGCATTCAAAGTAAAAAGTCTTTGTGTGTGCCATCCAGCCTCCTTTCATTAGAATGTCATTGTACTAAAACCTTGCATGTGGCTTTCCTCCTCAAAATGAACCTGGCAGGATTAGGCAGGCATGGTCAAAATTCCATGGTCTCATCAAAAGCCCAGGATGAACTCAGTAAAAAATACCTTAACTGCATGTGTTACGCTGGATGTCAAAGTGTGATGATAGAATGTTTTTTGGATAGAGATAGTTGTCGATCACCTGTTGATCATCTGCTCTAGAAAATAAAGAGGACAATCCAGTCATTTGGTATCAAAGCATTAAATGCCTGGTCATGCCAGTAGAAAGAACAGGCAAAACCAAATATACATATTCCTCAATTTCTGTAATTTGCTGAACATTGAAAATTCAGAACTTAACAGTGTGTGAAATGATGACATCAGACCATTTCTGGTGTACCAAATCAACTGAGGGGAAGAATCATATTAATTAGAAAGTTCTGGGGATTTGGAAACTGGGCTTTCTGTGGATGTGAAATGAATAGATCTAAATATGTAGTGTATTTCACCATTATTTTCAAAGAGCCAACATTAATACACAAAAAGTACAGCACACCCCAGGATTTTGTTGTTGTTTTTATTTTGCTTTGTAATTCTATATTTCCCTGTTTTGATATTTGCAGGTTGTAGGTCCTGCAGATGGCTCTGATTACACCCTTGATTATTATGGACCTAGGCTTCAGAAGACATCGATGGACAATTATACATATTACAAGCCCATAACTGACTGAACCATTCAGAGTTGCCAAGGAAGCAGCATGCATCTCAGGTTGGCATGGCAGCCGCATCAACCTGATCCCGAAGAGAGTCCTCCGTGATCAGGCACTCTCAGTGTTTGAGATGTGATGGAATATCATCAAACATGACACCACATGATACTAAGACTGAAGATAGATGTGCCGGTGCAGAGAAAAGAGAAAATGACCCCTTCAGAGTAGAAAAGTGGAACAATAGATTACGTGGCTTTAGTTTGGGAGTAAAGTTGCAGCTGAGGATATTTCTTCGGACGATTTAAACGTAAGAACTTGGGCCGAGCTTATGGCTGTACTTAGCCTGAAACTTTTGTCGTAGCATTGTATGGCAGCATGTAATCACTTGGTCTTTGGGATTTATCAAGAGTTGATGAAACATTATTCCAGCAGTGTGAGACAAGGACATTGCTGCTGTCAATCCTGAATATCTTTGACCCAGGCAGTGGCTAAGCTTTGACCACCTACCTGTGACAACCTTTATGGTGTTAACTGTAATCTTTCTAAGTCTTTCAAAACCCCACAGGGGATTTTGGAGCTTCATAAGATTGGCCAAGGTCAAATTTATGGTTCCTGCCTCCATAATTGTAATGGACAGTATTAGGAGTGAGATGATAGAGGAATGGTGAACAATCTTCCACCTTCCACTGCTAAACCGAAGTGCCAATTACAAACCTTTGATCAAGGGTATCAGCCCAAAAGAAACCAATTCCACAAACACATTAACACTAGGTAACACGGCACTAAATTTCATTTAGGTGTGGAGCCTATTTAGTTTCAGTCCATTTTCTGCATAAGTTGAAATTTGTGCACATAAGGTTCATTTCATAAACTTTAAAGTTGACTGACTATGCTGTTACAAGTTAAAGTGGTATTTGAATGAGTTTTCTTGCTTTTGAGATGCACCTGACCTGTTTTAATTTGTCAACTTAAAAACGTTGTTTTTAGTTTACATTGGATGTTTATTTAGATATGTTAAGTAACTTTCAACGTTGCCAGGTTCTAGACTCAACTTTTTGGCAGGACTGAATTTTGAGGTATGAAATATTTTTCATGATTTTCTACGTTGATATCTAGGCAATTAATTGTATCAATATATTTTGTTCAAAGCTCATTAGCAAGAGGAAGGTTGAAGGAAAAAAAATCCATAAAAATGAAATGGAATCCTCCACATTTGAGTTAAATGACCCTTCCTGTTTATATATGTTCGTTGATATTGACTTGTGTAAATAGAGTTTTATCTGAAATGCAAACTACATGTATGTATGGAAGGGGATGGAATGGATTTTAAGTGTGGGTTTTCTTCCCTTTGGTATCTATTCCAATCTTAGTGTATATATGTACTTGTAAAAAGTTGTATGTACATGTTGATTTTGTTTGTAAAATTATAAATTTGCGAAATTAAACCAAATATTTACCTTATACATGTCTGTGTGATTGAAGGAAGATGTTACTGAAGGATATTTTAGAGAGCACAGGCGCTTATCTTTTGCTGGCGTGAGGAACATTTTGAAGCGTGTACATATTTTCAGGCAGAACTTACATGTAATCAATAACTGCTTATTACTCGGACCGACTGCCCAATTTATTGCATTAATGAAAATAAACAAAATTCCTAAGAATGGGTGCTTTGTGGGCCTGAGGAGCTGATCAGAACTTATGTGGAATCAGAGTTTTGAAGTTTTGATTTTTATGTTTCGTTACTGTTTGTTTTCGTACTTGGTGCTTTTGTGAATTGGTGTGTTTTCAGGAAAGTTTCTTCCTCAGATATATCAATGGCAGGGATTCATTGGGATGGAAAATTTAAAAAGAAGTGAGAGACATAAAATTATAGTGTTTTTGGCTATTTCAGTTTGAAATGATCTATTTTGTGGCAACAGATTTTCGTTAAAAAGTGGAATAACCTTATCAAAGATGTCAAAAGATTATTATGACACACAATTAAGTTGTACAAAAACCTTTGTTTAAATCATGTTAACCTTCAAATAGTCAAAAGTGTACTTACACAGTCAATAAGTTTATGTATTAGAGCTAGATCCCACTTGGTGAATCTGTATTTGTCATACGCGACATATTTGGTCTCTTGATTAGTGTCTCCGCCGTTTTGTCAATTAACTTAGGCACTGCTTTGCAAATCACCCTACAAAGCAGCCCCCGACAACGCGCCGGCGTAGAACATTACAACCCACCAACAGGTGGCGCTATTTAATTTTGCGGTGGCGTCTACGGGTCCAGTCCACTAATTCAAGCCCCATTGAAAACAGTGTAAAATCAGCACCGTTCAGGGCCCAATAGCATGCACGCCGACATCCCTGAGATTTCTGAAACACAAANCCCCTACGTCTAGTCTTCTTAAAATATCAAGCGTGACTGTGATACATCTAGTAGTACAGTATCCGCTACCAGCTCCCTGATCTGATGGAAATTTTGTCAAGATATCGCAAAGACGGCGTCTGAATGAAGAATCTGCTCGGTTTTAGAATTTGCTGGAATTGTCAGAGCATGCAGATTGTTCCAGAGTATGCATATTTTTCGGGGAGAAGCAGAGAAGTATGTGAAGGGCTAATGTTGGTAGGCCTATTAGGGGACTAATTTCAGTGTTTACATTAATTCGTGCGTGTAACGTTTGTGTAGTTTAATCTATTTCGTGATAGGCGTAAGTAAAAATTTAATAGAGAACTCAGCATGCACGTACATCCTTAAATTTATATTTTATTCTATTTTTCCAGCCAGGTACACTTACATGGCAACTCATTTTTAGGAAACAAAGTGTATCTTTTGAAATGAACAATCTCCCAGTTTTTTCCTAATTTTACCACCTCTATTAATCAAGTCTAATTGGTTTTCACAGTAAGGGGTCATGCCATTAAGTGTCAAGTATCAACAAGCGTCAACAAAGTGTCAACAAGTTGTTCAAGCATATTTATGCAAAGATTTTTATTTAAAATGTTAATTAGGATCCTACATTTCAAATTCAATGTATTATATCTAGGCCTATCTGAAATGATATTTGAGTGCTGAAATTTGAGTTGTGCAGTCTGACCGGCTGCCTTTTTTTTTGCGTCGACGGCAGAGGAAAGAAAGATGGTGGACCCCATACATCGTGAGAAATTTTCTTTTTCCTGTGAGAATCTGGAATCAAATTTGGTGGTTCTCTTACATGTCTTATACAGTGGTAAGTGAGTCTAAAATATAATAAAGCCACTTTAAATGTAGAGGATATTTTCAAGTTGTTGATGCTTTATTGATGCTACCTGTGTGTGTTGATGCTTGTTGACACTAAATAGCATGACCACACAGTAAGTGGCAAAAAACGGACCTGGCTACTATACTGTCATGCATGTGAAGCCCCTGTTTACTTTGATCAGGGTAGATACTGGTAGCTTATAGACTCTTGAGGTTAGTAAAGCTGCAACTTGGAGACTATCTTTGTATTTTGAGAAGTGAATTTTAAGGACAAAATCAGTCCCCGGAAAGAGAGAATGTCCCTCTAAAGCCCTTTTCACACTACGGACTGCTAACCTGGGGAATCTGTGCCCCGGGTTAGAAATCGAATCCCGGTTTCACATTTACGGTGTAAACCCAGAGATTCTGCTAACCGTGGGCAGCACTAACCCGGGGCAGCTGTCAACCCTTTCACATTAACAACGGAAATCTACCCTGGGAATTTGGGGTGCGCCTTGAATATTAATATTATTAATCGTGGTTATTACAAGAATAGCGATGGTTTTCGTTTGACCAACGCACATGAAATGTGGTTCGATAGCAGCAGGTTCCCTGATCTAGCCAAAATCAGAGGCACATACATGTACCGCATGCATAAAAACATGCTGTAGAAACAGGGCATTATACCAGTATAACATTTCGCACCGGCGCATGTGCACGTTGTGGCCCTGCATCTCATTGCCATCGTTTTGCTTCACCTTACAAGAGAATTCTCCGAGCAACTTTATCCTACAGTTCGCTATTAAACCCTGCATGTTTTCTCACTTGCAAAGATAACCCAGGGAATGTCTCAAGGTCGCTGTTAATCCCAAGATCGGTGAGTTAACCCTGCTCATGAGCAGGACTAGAAATTCCACACGTTAACGGCACTTAACCCAGGGCAAAAAGAGTGCAGTGTGAACACAGCTCATAACCTGGGGAATCTCGTGGGTAATGTTTTTGCTAACTCTGAGATAACCCAAGTTAAATTCTAGTGTGAAAATTGGATTTAGCAGAAGAAAACACCCAAGACTGCTGTTTAAAAAAATTCTACCATTTCTAGGATTACAAGCAGGAGTCTGCTGTGGTACATAAAAGGTAGAGAAACAACCGCATCAAAACAGTTTTTCTGAAAATCAGTTCTTTATGATATACATGTCTTTATCAAATGGCATGGCACAAAGTTCATAAAACAACTTAAATAACTAAATATGAATGGAAAATGGGAGAGAAATGGAAAATAGCAGGAGGATATTTTTGACCCAAGCCCACTTTGAAAAAAGCCCCCTTTTAAGGAGACATCCTCTCTTTTAGGAGACTGGTTTTGTCCCCAAATAAAGGGACTTCTTCAAATACAGGGACAGTCCTCAAGTTGTGATGTGCGCCTCAACTGTAAGGCTGTCGAATGCTTGCCAACTCTATGAGGAACAAATCAAATGTTGAGACAACTCGGCCGATGGGAGAGCTTGCACTTTACAGTCACATTGCCCCCGCCTTTTCTTCAAATCAAATTTAAAACAATGAAAGGACTGGGGGATAGATTTACGGTCTCCCAAAGTGGCAGACTGGCAACTGGTCATCGGTGCGGCCGAGGCATCTGTGCAATGCTGTGCATGCTGCATTGCTTTCATGGCCATGCACCATGCTGTCAGGGTGGCTGACATGCGCAGTCCACCAGTCCAATCCATGCTGTGTCACTGGGTCCCTATGCACGCCATGCCTGGTGAGTCGAGTTGCAATGTAACATGACACACTCAAATTTGCCCAAATACATGATCTGCAGTCTGTTTCATGCACAAAACCCTCGTCATGTACCGGTACACGCCTTGAATGGTTGAGTTGTCTTAATGGACAACTTGGTAAATGGTTGAGTTGTCTCAAAGGTTGAGTTGTCGTAATGGTTGAGTTGTCCGACTCTGACATCCCTCGAGGGTAAACATAGGCCTATATTTTGGAAAAGTGGATTAGATTTAGACTTAGTCTATCAGAAAGAGCTCTGTATGGCCGTGCATACATGTACATGTACGTATACTATGTAAGTACAACCTCACCTTGTATTTTCATTTAGGACAAGTCTATTCAGCTTGGGTAGATTGAAATTGTCTTAGGAGTTGTTTTGTAGGTACACTGTACATACTTTTTAAACAAAGTGTTTATTTTGTCGGGATCCATTTACACATTTGTTATTTTTAAAAAAGCCAGCATTGAAGTCATACTGCTCCTTTGGAGCAGGTGAGTGTGACGCAGTCAGTTATGTAGGTGGTCATCCATCAGTGCATGTGATTACAGTCTGATCCTTGGGTTAGATCGGCACTTTGAAAAATTAATTTTCCCAACCCAAAAAGTGATATTATCCTTTCATGTTAAAATTGAGGTCTACATTGTACATAAGGTTAAGCTGCTGGTTATTTATATCTTTTCTCTCTGTGATCCATGACCAATGAGCAGTGTCACATCTAGCCACCTGTCCTGCCTGAGGACAGGCAAAATTACTTAGGACAAGCAGTTTTTATCTGTACAAAATTTGCAAAACCCAGATATTTACAGCTGTGATGAATGTCCACCCGAAGTATTAAGTACAGTGGAAAACGTGGACTCGGCATCAAGGGATATCAGTCTCCAAAGTTTTGCTGGGGGCAGAGGACACCGTCTTGCAAAACCTGCACTGGAAGATTTTTCAATGGGAAGGGGCATTCTCTAATGTTATGTCTTAAAAGTAATGGCTGCTATTAATGGAACGTGTTTGTATTACAAGGATTAGAGCATCTTGTTCATAATTCATGCTATCCACACATTAAACCACTGGGGCTTATGGTCATTGGTCAGGGTGATGTAGGGAATACATGTAGGTATTATATGGTGTTGGCTTACTTGAAAATGTACTTTTGAGGGTGTTGTACACTGTGAGAACTATGCCAGCTTTATAATAGACAAAATGCAGGATTGATTCACAGGTAAATACACAGGATAAGGAGCCACTGTGAAATTACATTAATTGGTAATGTACATGTACCTTACATATGGTCTGCCTATTTCGAAATGTTAAGGCAACAAATGCAGTCCCAGTTGTTCACATTATTACAAAATGGGGACATTTTGTGCTGTAACTATTTTTTTTTGATGTGTGTGTGGACAAGGTACTGGTCCATCACATCGTGGTATCAGAGGCTGTTGGACTTCTGAGGTATTTTTCTGAGGTATGCCAAACCCAATGCAAAAGCCAGCAGTTATGGGCCTACCAGACCTATCCCCACAGAATTAAACACTTTACTACTGTTTAATTCTGTGTCGTTAGGGAAGGTTAGGGTTAATGATTGAGAAGAAATAAGAGGCTGTGATATTTACATGTAAGGTACCCCTTTTGTTGTTGTTTTTGTTTATTTAGATGTTTCACCAGTTAGGTTAGCAGTCTGCAGCCATGTCTTGTTTCTGCATCCGTCTACAGAAGGACATCGTCAAGACCTTAGACTTCCGGCATTGCAATTTGGCCTTTGTGCCAGAGGAGGTGTATGATTATGAAGAAACACTGGAGGAACTGTGTCTAGACTCCAACAACATCAAGGACCTGCCTAGGGTAAATAGAATGGGATAAACAAAGACACTGGTTTGGGTGCCAGACTCTGTCACATATTTTCAATAGGACCATAAAATCAGTTGAATTTCTGATTTGTTCTTCTCAGCTCAAAAAACATGTTATTTTTTGAGAAGCCTTGTCAATTCTGTTCATTTCATTTTAAGGCAGATTTAAAGGGATCGTACTCTCTGTACAAGTACATTGTATGTGGATTGTGAAGAAGGTATTGTGGAACTGCAGAGTTGCTCATCCAAAAGTGAGGAATTGTCTTGATGTTCCGCATTACATGAACAATTGCACTTTAATTACAGGTTTTTGCCCTTACCTGACGTATGTATTTATAAACACTGTATACTCAGTGCTTGTCTAAGAGCTTGTGAAAAAATTCACGTACTTACTTGGGTGGGACTCGAACCCACGACCTCCTGCTTGCTAGTGCAGGCGTCTTAACCACTCAACCACCAAGCCTGCCAGGGTCGGCTGGCCGGTCCAAGTCAGATGTAGCAGCGGGTACTGTAAACTATTTCAAGATGTGCTTTGCATTGGGACGATATCAATTTTTATCAAGGAGATGTTAATTTTTACCCAAGTAAGCTTGTCAATTTTTTTCCAAGATCTGGGATAAGCACTGAGTCAGCACTCAAGGTAAGGGCAAAAATAAAATGTAATTAAAACTAGCATCTCCCCGACGTAAAGTACATCTTGAAACAATTGCACTTTTGTTGTAAGTGATCGATACACAGTTTGCCACTGACTTTTGGTATTACAATTATCTTTCTAATAATGACTCATTTGTCAATAACTGCAGTTGCAAAAAATAATTACATAGGACTTTTTAATCATTTTAGTTTGCTATCTCAGGTATAATGACCTATTGCTTACACTTGTTTAGATAGTTGGGTAATTGAAAGTTATTTTGTGATCAGTCCATTTTTGTAAGTTGTCTTTGAAATCAACCATTTCAGTCGCTGTTTCACTGTGAGTTCTTAAAGAAGTTGAGCATCTGTGACAATGACCTCTGTGCCATACCAACAGCCATAGCTACTCTGGTGAACTTGGAAGAACTAGACATCAGTAAAAATGGCAAGTGTACTAGCATTTTTCATGTTAACCATTCATGTTGATTACCTTGAGGTAGGGTTTAGGTTAGACCTATGACTTCTAGCATGGTATACAGCACACTTGAGATGGACCTCTCCCTCTTTCCGCTAGCTAGAATCCTGTAGTCACAAGCCGTGTCAGAGTTTCGTTTAGTTTACATGTTATTCTGTTTAACAGACATTGGTAGCAAAAGCAAGGAGGAAAGGGCACTCCTTCCCACCTTTGAAATTTCATTCTGTCCCCACCAAATCCTTGGATACAGATAAGTAATATGCCACAGCTACCAAACTTTCCGAAGCATTCCATCAGCAGTGGGTATGGAACGTCATCACTTATCATGATATTTAAAGACACACACTGGGTTGAATTAAGAGGATTGCAGCTTTTATTAAACATCCAAATATATTTGAGATAAAGATTTTTTTAATTCGACACCAACAAATAAATGTTTTTATTGTGAGATTGCCGGTATTTTCAATAAATATTTTAATAAAGAAACGGTCATATTTCTTAATATAATGTTAATGTTAAAACTCCAACAGGTATTACTGAGTTACCAGATAACATTAAATGCTGCAAGAACCTCCGCATGGTGGAAATCAGTGTCAACCCACTGGGCAAGTAAGTACATGTACAATTCATTTACTCAGGTCCATTTTGAGGTTAGTCATCAGTCGATTTCAGAGTGTATGGGCTCTTGCTTGTTTATTGCTTCAGCTTGCCAACTTGTGTACAGCCAATAAGTTTCTTCTTAGTGATAAGCAATTCCTAATCTGAAAATACCTGCATTTGCAGTATCAACTTGAGTTTGAGTTCTTTTACAATTATGCAAAGCTGTATGTTCAAACATTTCTATTTCTACACATCGTGTCCTCTTGTACTAACCTGACCTTTAGGTTTATTTATGAACTTCCACAAATATCTGATCCACAGTTCTACTAAATGTCCAATTGTCTGTGCCAGTCCAAAATAAAAAAGAGAAGAAAAAAAAGAGGCAAAAAAGAGTCCTTTGGTTTTACAGCACAAATGTGCACAAATGCTCACAGTCACTGGTGAGCATGTAGTTTCTATATGGAACTCAAACATGCACAGGTTCAGTGTGTGCACAGTTGGTTGCCAGCACAAAATGACCCAGGGTCTTTTGTGCAGTCCTTTTCACTATATTTGGTTTACTGCACGATTATGCTCATGAAACAGTGAAGCACAGTTGTTGGGCAGCACAGAAGTGCAATCTGATATTCCTGTGGGGGACTGTTGGTGCAGTGCACAACACGACACAGCTGTGCTTCATTGAGGTGTTTACCAAGTGGCCTAAAGAGTGACTTCCACATAGGAGGGTTAATGTTCAAAACCCCAGTGACAATGCTGATATACGACTACCACAATTGTGCTGATCTCAATCTGGGTTGTTTGATTTAAGTCATTCAAATCAATTATTGTAATCAATGAAAAGCTTTTTTGAAAAAAATCACCAATGAACTGAGATTGTGATTTTTTAAAACATTTCCTTTTATATTGTACAAACAAAGTTTTGTGATTGAAGATAAAGTTTAAAATTGCTTATGCCAACTCTTTCAGGGATATATGATGTCAGTTTCATAAAACAACGCATCATTTTAATCGTACATACAATGCATACAATATTCTGGGGCAATATCCTACATGTAACCGATATACAGTATACATGACATAGTGTTCATCTCCTCTTGCATGGCACCTGAACATCTGCCATCAGTTAGTTCTTCCATTGGTTTGCAAGTCTTGACAATATATCCCGACTGACTCATGTAAGGCTTGGCTGCATCTGCCCCGCATGATTACGCTCTTCTTAATAAATACAGAAACAATACAATACAACCCAAGAGATTATGAGTCAAGCTTTATGTATGTATTCTAGAAAAGGATGAATATATTTTACTTTCAGTGACAGTCAGTTAAATTCGCTTGTTAAAATCAATGTTTTAAGCAAATGGTGAAATGGTGAGGAAAAGAAATAAAATTTAATTGAAATAAATATATATTTAAATTTTAAAAATTTCATTTTTTATCTTGATATTTGTCAACCCTGATTTCAAAAGACCTTTTCCTCTTTTTGAAATCTGTAGCCATCTTCAAGGAGCTGATAAGCACAGAAAATATTGGATGAATATAAACAGGATTGCAGCCACAATGTTTGTGATCCTTACAATGCCGGCTTTTGTCCAGCATGTGGATGGGCCAAGTAATGTCTGCTTTCTGTATGATGGAGATCTCTGACTTGGGACTATCTGTAACAGAAATCCAAGTGCCTAATTTTTTCTCTTCATTTGTTACACCAGGTTGCCAGAAGGATTTACCCAACTGGTGAACTTGACCCAGCTCTACCTGAATGACACCCTCCTGAATTACTTGCCAGCAAACTTTGGCCGGCTGGTGAAACTGACAGTCCTGGAGCTGAGAGAGAATAGACTCAAGGCACTGCCAAAGTAGGAACACCATTTGAAAACAAGGGTTTCTACCTTTCCCTGGTGTAACACTTGCCCAGATTATGTCCACCTCCTGGAGTGTGGTTCATGTTGACTCATATCAATGCATTCTGTGTACATTGAGCCGACACTCAAAAGGCAGCAACTTTGCATCCTAAATTTATCGAACATCTTTAGAAATTATTAGCTGAAACAGCGAAGTGCTGTGAAGCAGATGGTCTCTACAGTAGTATGGATCACAGTTGATAAGTATTACACTTCCCAAAGAAGTTTCGAGCTGATTAAACATTGAAACAACCTTCATAGTGAAACACTGCTCACATTGACATGCTTCATATAGCTCTGAACTCTCCCAAATTCTTCACCATCCATCAGTAGGTTTTGAAGAGCTCTGCAGGGTCTGGGAAGGTAGCACTTTACAGACACCACGGCTTTACATGAGACTTTATGCCCCTTGAAAGTCATTAAGTAAAAAAACCATGCCTTGTTAACAATTTGACAATATTTTTTAACAACTGACAGGTCCATGGCAAGGTTGACGGAGTTAGAAAGATTAGACCTTGGCATGAATGAATTCAGACAATTGGTAAGTGTGGTATGGGATACCTCGACAAAAAACAATGATGAAAACAAAGTGAATACACATAGAAATGATAACAAATAATATGGCAAATACAGGCCTAAATAAAAATGAATACACATGTAAATTAAACCGAAGGTTTTGGCATTAATTAATCAGCAAAACAAGACTTACACGTTTTGTACACTCAAAATGTATTTGTGTTTTGGTTTTGTTTTTTTTCAGCCTGAGGTGATTGGATTCTTCACTAAGCTCACAGAGCTGTGGCTAGATTCAAACAAGCTGACATCCATTCCATCGGTAAGTATAGAACTTTCGGACACCCTTGTTGGTGTGTATGATGATACTTGTATAATCACTGAACCTAAAAGCAGTTCTCTAGCAAACAGTCCTTTTCAGTGTTTTTAGACTGAGAATACTGTATGATGCCGTAAGGCTGTAAGAGTCTTTCTTGCATATTTATCTGTTAGCGTAGACCAGCTTTCCTGAGAAAGATCATCTGGCACTAGTGCCCACTAGGCAAATGTGAAGGCCATTTTTGCTAAATTTTAAAATCAATTGCAAAGATGGTAGCTAAATTGTGAGAAGGCGTCATGTAATAGGAAATCTAGAAATTAGTCTTTCGTTTTACTCCTTTTAGAGCAAAATGTTCTTTGTCTTCTTGCTTGGTCTCTGTAACCTTCGGCCCATTTTCATAAGGACTTTTTCGTTCATTTTGGCTGTGTTTTCTTCAGGCCATAGGGAACTTGAAGGAGCTTGCATACCTGGATGCCTCCTGTAATCGTATTGAATGGTTACCAGGAGAGATAGAAGGATTGGACAGCCTAACTGACCTCCATCTATCCAAGAACTACCTGCAGGAACTTCCTAATACTGTTGGTAAGGCTAAGAATTACAAAGCCTTGATGTGGTCTGACAAAAGCCATGTCAGTATTTACTGAATGTTTGGCTTGATTGGATTTGAGCGTTTGATTCTAAAAGGTTTGCAAATAATACCATCAACAAGGTTAATTGGCGCTGGTTCATTTAAAGTGAACATCAGCAAAACTGACCAAGGTGCAGTTAGATCTAAGAGAAGCCCCCCCACACAACAACAATAACTGCTTCTGTACATGAACCTGCGCATTAATCTGCTCTTTGTGTAACAAAACCTGAAAGCAACTACATATATTGATTTGCTTGCTGTGTGGTGACATTATGGTTGTAGATCATGGATAGTGGCAAGACTCACTTAACCTGTATCTATGTACAGTTTCACAGGTAATGAAAGAAGAATTTCCATGGCAATTCAATCTGTTGAATGTAAGAAGCAGCCGGTGCCAATTTTAAGGGCTACTCCATAGAGATTTTGGCCTTCCAAAGAGAAACGGTTGCTTATATATACTAGCAGTTGAAGTTGGACCTCATTGGGCCGTATCTACATTATACAGTACAGTCAGAATTTTAGCCGACACGCTAACACGATCAGTGAAACTGACACGCTGTTCAATACAGGCTTTGAGGTTTTTACCGTGCATTGCCGGTCCAATGCACGATAAGCCTGACCCCGGACCTCATTATCTCGGCAGGGCTTGTGACCGCAGACTGCAAAGGTTACCAATAACGTGTAGTGAAGCACGAACACGCAGAGCCGTTACTCCAGCTTTGTGTATGCATGTACATGTAGATGTAGTGCCTGGCTGGGAGGATGACCGTCAAACAGTCCACCGTATGTTGAGAATAAAATTAGATACTAGAAAACTGTTTCCCAAATGTAAGCTTTGAATTTTAAACTCACAGGATTGACTGGAAACTGGCTTTTCCTGCTGATTCTAATGCTAGATCAGTTTTAATTCCCGATTGCGTGAGAAACTTTTTCACAAATTAACAGTAACCATGAAGGAAATCCACTCCTTAGCCAAACTATTATAATAAGCTGATTTTACAATGAAGTACAGCATTGTATTTCTTAATTTATGGAAATTTAGTTCATGTATCATAATTCCAGTAAATTGAAAAAAACACCCGCTGAACTTGCGTAAATTTTTAACTTGAATTTTCATTTGCTGCCACACCAGTAACAGACGTTCTTGCTGTGACCATGCAGCGACCATGCATCGACCAAGCATTCACGAAACTACAACCACCCCAGCACTTTCATCCCAACCACCAATCATAAATCAAAACGAGCATATTGCATTTTCATTTTGATACGGCGCCAACAAATGAACATTTACAGCCCTTTCACGTCACAACATGCATATTTATGAAGTTCACATTGGTGCTGCTTTGTGTGCAGGCGGTGTAAGTGGATATGCACATCGCACATGCAAACCGGACTTCCTTTCATTTTGGTATGATCTTTGCCGTTAAGTTTGGTCGTAATTTTGTCTCAATCAGAGTGATTTCTTTTTGTTAGATTTTCCGGCCACAAGGTCAAAAACCGATGGGAAACATCCGCACCTCAAATCGAATTTATATTCATGTGATTTTTGAACATTCTGAGCTCGAGTACAGCGAGTACGGCAATAACAATGGGGGGCCATCTGGACTAAAGTTTGGCTTGCGGACCAGCGAGGTCAACCCCTATTTATATTTTGTGGATTTCTTACACATTAGTTTTCTTTAATTCAAGAAATGCTTTGTCATAAAAACTGCTAGTTATAGTTGTCTCGGCTGAAAGATTAATTTCATGCTCGAATATTTTCTGTGCCTGATTCAGATGTTTTGGATCAATTCAGACATAGGCCTAAACGAATAGTGTTGCCTACTTGACACTTTCATCAATCCTGTATGGCCAAACAAAATGCTTTATTTTCGAAAATGATTTTGTGATGCCTGCTACATACAAGGTAAACTACTGACCACATTTCCCTGGAATTTGAAGATAACTTGAGCTGCAGTCAAACTGAATAATTTTCGTTGTGGGAAACTAGGAAAATGACTGCTCCGGTCATCAAAGGCCTGGCTGTTCTGGGGTTTGCATGTAGTGTATGTATTTTCATACTCGGCAGATTGGATTGCGGTGTCGGTGTTCTCTGTTAATTCTGAGCTTTGTGAAAACTTCAAAGTGTTTGTGCTCTTCATTATCTGGAGCATTTATGCAACCATGACAAGAAACACATCTCTGCTTTGGTCATTTGTTGAGCGTGACGTTAGTTGTGCTTGCATGATGTCAGTGTTTTGACCAAATGAGAATTCAATCTTCAATTTGTGGAGTTGGTTCACTGATAATTCAAAAGAGTTGAAAATAATATGGTTATAGTTTTCCTGTCTTCACAATAAAAGAATTATGCTTCCCCACTACCAATATATTGTATGCAGGAAACCAACATGGATTCATTCTTCCAGAACTTGAACAGAGAGAACTATAGCAATTCAGTGAAAAGGACATTTGTCGGCAGTGTGGTCTGCTACCTTGTATTTTCACCCTCTTGGGTGATGTGACCATTTCCTTTTCTGCGTTTTTGTGGGCCATGTTAAATATATTCCTGGTTATTCTTGATGTTAAACATTCAACTAGGGATCACAGGAACACACCCCTATGTTGCATTTAAACACCGATCAACGTTTGATGGTTGGTGTGGGTTGAATTTTGACTTCATGCAGTCATTTTCTGTGGCCTCCTCAGGACAACTGAGCACCTTACAGCATCTGAAGCTAGATTACAACCAGATCTCCAATCTTCCCTACTCCATTGGTGGACTAATCTCACTAGAGGAGCTGATACTCACCTATAATGATCTAGAAGAGCTACCTCCGAGTATTGGACTCTTGAGGAAACTCACTCATCTCAATGTTGATCAGAACATGCTGCTGGAGCTTCCACCAGAGGTGAGTCACACAGTCCAGTTTTCCTCAACAAACATTGTTTTATCCGTTTTCCCTTGATGCTTAAAGTTCCCGTAATGCACACTTCCACAGTAATGATGCCTTTGCTTTTCCCCTTTACTAGTTCGGAAGTGTTTGAGTACAATTCAGGCAATCTTATATTAACATTTTTAACTCTTTGGTTGAGCAGTTTTGTTTAGCTTTCTCAGTCGATTACCAGATTGTCAACTCAGTAAACGTCACAGAATATAAAACACGGCAACTAGGATGATCAGTAGAACACACTTACATGAACCCATCTCTCCTGTTTTTTGACAGCTTCATTGGCTACCAGTTAAATTACGGATAACTTTTAAACATTTGGTCTTAATTTACAAATGCATTCATGAAACAGCCCCAGATCTCCAAGAGGTAGTCAGCAAATATCATCCGCCAAGGATTCTTCACTCCAGCAACAAAAAGATCTTCTCACTCCACATTCACTTCTTACCAAATTATATGGTCAACGTGCTTTCCATTTTGCTGCACCGGAACTATGGAAATATATCACACAGCACATGAAAATCTGCCCCTCTTTGGAACAATTTAAATTTTAACTTAAAACACACCTGTTCAGTCTGTCCAAGGCATGGAGACTTCATTCTGTATTATGCGGTTTATAAAAATTGCTTCTTTTATTATTAGTATGTAGGTGTAATTTATGACCGAGTTTAAATGCTCCCAGTTTGTATTGTAACTGGGAAGGGTTTCTGTATGTGAGTAATGTGCATCATGTGGCATTTGTGTTTGTTGAAGTTCATCTGTCATTTAGAATCCCAGTTGCATAGTATGTCAATATCACTTTGTCGTACCGTTCTGCCTTCATCGCACTTGATTTCACGGTAGAGAATGCAATCATTGGCAAAAGTCATACTTGGGATTTTATGCCTGGGGGAGGCTTACATGTACATGTATGAAGAGTAAAGGTCCCAAGATGGTGCCTTGGGGAACCCCAGACTATATTCTGCGTGATGATGAAGAAACTTTGTCTAATACAATAGATTGTGTTGTCATGGTGAGGAAGTTGTTAAACTACATATGTACCTATGTAAGGTTCGTGTGTTGTCTGACTGCTGACGCTTCAGGAGAAGTCATTGTGAGGAACTGTATCAAAGGTTATACTGAAGTCTGTTCTGAAGTCTGCTTGGCCTTGGCGATCAAGTATTTTTGCTAGGTTATTTATTGTAAGCACCAATTGTGTTTCATATGACTGCCTCTTCTCAAAACTATGTTGTTTTTCATTTATGATGTTACTTTTCTTGAAATGATCCATGACATTTGTGTGGATAGTGTGCTGCAATTGTTGGCAGGTATGGACATCAGTGAGACTAGCCTGTAATTACTTGGGTCTGCATGATTTCCCTTTTTAAATATCAGTGAAACATGAGCTCTTAACCAGTCTTTAAGTAACTCTCCAGTGTCGATTTCTGAAAAATTTGTGGGAGTAACGGGGCTACATGTACATGTAAGTTGTCAGCACACTCTTTTGATATGAGGGTAATATTCCGTTTGGACCTGGTTTTTCATGAGATTTTAACTCTGAGAGTAGTTTAGCAATGTCCTTTGTTATTATTACTATGGAGACCATGGAGGGAGGTATGTTCATGTAGGTTGGTTCTGGCAATCTTCCTTGGTGAAGACAGATTGAAATTGACTGTTGAGGACGTTGGCTTTTTCTAAGGGGGATGCTGCTATGCCAGATGCTGCTTTTAGTGAGGCAACACCAGTGGAGCTTTGTTTCAAGCTTTTCACCAAACTCCAGAAAGGCTTTGTGATCAGATGACAGGTTTTCCCCGACTTTGCAGCGGCATTCACGGCATGATTTCTTCAGACTGCAATCCAGCGCCCTGTGCAGGGCGCAGAAATTTTCCCTGTCTATCTCAGGTTAATTTGCATCTTGGAGGACGTTGTAATAATACCGTTTAACATTTGAATGCATGCACTATGAATATACAGGACTGAGGTTTGGCTTGGCATACTTTCATTTCACGAAACCTCCAGATTCTGGTGCAAATATATTATATACTTGTATATCACCAATGACCGCCAGAGGTGCTTGGGTCAGTTGGTCAATTCGAATTCCATAGAGTAGAGGATATTGTAATAAATTGACATGGGCAAGAATCTTGTTTAGGGTGATGGTCAGGTTAACACATTCCTTTTTTTCTCACCATTGATTTTCCTTCTTCCATCCAGCTTGGCAGCTGCAGCGCCATTACCTTACTGTCTCTTCACAGTAACCTCCTGATGACTTTACCAGATGAGATCGGTCACATCAGCAGTCTGTCGGTGGTCAACCTTTGCAACAATCAGCTACGTCATCTTCCCTATCAAGTCACCAAACTCAAGAACCTACAGGCTCTCTGGTTGTCTGAAAACCAGGTATGGAGAGACACATACATGTAGCTGCATGTGGTTGGCCTTTTTGCTTTCTAATCCTGTAGTTCACTTACTGGTGTAGAAGATGGCAGTAGTGTATTATCAGATAAAAACAGACAAACTTTGATACTCTTAATGTAGCTGTTCATGTGGGGAAAGTTGGCAGTGTGATGCCTGAGAACAGTTTGTAAGTTGGCAGTGTAATGCCTGAGAACAGTTTGTGAGTTGGCAGTGTGATGTCTGAGAACAGTTTGTAAGTTGGCGGTGTGATGTCTGAGAACAGTTTGTGAGTTGGCGGTGTGATGTCTGAGAACAGTTTGTAAGTTGGCAGTGTGATGTCTGAGAACAGTTTGTAAGTTGGCGGTGTGATGTCTGAGAACAGTTTGTAAGTTGGCAGTGTGATGTCTGAGAACAGTTTGTAAGTTGGCGGTGTGATGTCTGAGAACAGTTTGTAAGTTGGCAGTGTGATGTCTGAGAACAGTTTGTAAGTTGGCAGTGTGATGTCTGAGAACAGTTTGTGTCACATTTCACAGTCTACATGTACATAAAGTTGTCCCCAGATTGTGGAGTTTTGCCTGTTTTTCCCCCTCAGGGCAAACCGTTGATCCCTCTCCAGTCCGAGATGAAAGAAGAACTTGGCAAGAGAGTGCTGACTTGCTTCCTATTTCCACAGCAACACAAAGATCTAGAAGAAGGTATAATGGGAAAAAGTGTATGAGAAAATAATCAAGTATGTCCAAAGAAAATGCATCCGTAATAAAGACCAAGAAATGCTGTAAAGAACCTGTGAAGAATTCCAAAGAAAAAATTTTTCTGGCCTCAGAGAATATTCCCAAAGCAAAAGGTTCCCAAATATTTTATAAAGGAGGTTAACAAAGCAGGAAAAACACAAGGAATCTGCAAGTAGATACCTTGTAAATCCTGAAACTTCCAATGTCATTATCATTAGTGTCAGGATGTTGCAGAGGTAACTGAATTCCAGTTGTAGGCCATCACTGTATCTTGTATCTTTCATGCATTGCTATTCAATAGAATCATGCCTCCTTCTTCTGGTCCCAATGTCAGATACATATCAGAGTGATGGAGAAAGTTTCCATGCTTCCCTTTGGGAGGAACAGAGGCTAAACCGCAGACAGATAGCATTTGATATTTCAGAGTCAGACTCAGAGGTAGGCAGAATTTTTTTTCTTTTTCTCTGTACAAATGGTTTTCTAAGATCACACTGCGTAGGTGTGCGAATTACTGATAGGAGAAAAATGAAAAATCAGAACTTGCATAGCTAAAAATGAAACCTCTTGATTTCACCGGATAAATCAAACCACAGTAAGTCTTGTTTTTAATTACAAGACGGGTGCGGACAATGTATCATTTGTAAATCTTTCTGATGAATTTCAACATTCCTAGATGAGTTCAATACAGATCCTAAAATTTCACACCATGCCCTTTCCATTTGCATTGTGTTGGGTTAATGAATGATTGATTGTTACTGTTAACTTTATCAAAACCAGTTCATTGGGATTACTGTGGTTTGTTTCCAGTAGCAGTAAATTTCCAGTTGGTTTTATATTCCAAGTTAAGTGCAAAGGATGCACCGCTGGTTTACTGCACGTTATACTTTATAAATTTAGTAATATACGTCTTTCAAAAATGTCAAAAGTGTTTTAGTACAGGGTCTCCCAGACAAAACCAAACCCTGAGGAAAGGGGTTAATATGCCCAAACCATAAGATATGATTATAATGTATAAGGATCTCTGAAAAGTGTTACAACTGAGTTGGGATGTCCCATTTTCAAGACAGTGGTGTTCAGTCACGCATGACAGGAGGGATACAATCAAAGTATCATTAGAAAGAATACTGCTTCTACTTTTCAGAGATATTTTAATCATATCTCTTGGTTTGGGCATATTAACCCCTTTCCTTAGGGTTTGGTTTTTTTTCTGACACACCCTGTAGACTGAATGGCAACTCTGTCTTGGTTCCTTCTTCCATCATATCACTAGTTACCAGCACTGTTTTTATCTGCAGCATAAAAAGAAAAGGGCACCCATCCCTTACCCCAAGGAAGGCATCAAACGGAAGATCCTTGCCAATAGCCGAGGTAGTAACAATAAGTCCAGTAGATCACGCAGCCGACGCAGCAACATTCTCCCAAACTATCCCTCTGTAGATACGTCAGTAAGTGACTTCATTTTTGGTTTTGTTATGCATAATGGCTTGGCTATCAGAATATCTTCAGATAAGTGTTAAAAGGCACTTTTATTGAACCCCCAATAAAGTGTCTGTAACAAGCAGTGGCAATCAACCCATATTTGTATATGGTCTTGACCTTCCATGGTAAAAAAACTTGGAAAGTGTTGCTATTTGTGTTTCAAATCATTCAAATGCAAAAAAGGAAAACAAGAAAAAAAGCATTTGCCCTTTTGACCCCTGACCCCTTCTAAATTGCATTATTCTGCACGTAAATGTTTCTGAGCTCCAGTTCTTTATGTTCGTAGGGTCAATAGCACTTTCAAATCGAGTAATTTGAGCGTACATGTAGGTGTATATGTCAATTCAAATGGTTAAATTAGTGATTATTCAAATTGATTAAAGTGTACGTGTAGCAAGTGCATTAGTACATTTTAAAAATAAAAATATGCATGTTATTGTAACTGTTTCAGGAATTGATAGTTTCTTTTTGTGAGCATAGGCGGTAGAATCAGTTATTTCATTCAGTAGATGTGTCATTGCAGTTTGTGGTGACTTGAGCATGTGCGGATTAAAATTGAATTGAAGTTAAAAATCTGTCATCTCATTCAAGTCAGCTTTCAAAAGATCGGTTTGTTATTTTCATTTCATATCAGATATTGAAGCATTTCAGTGCTCCATAGTCAATAGATTGTCCTATTTTGGATGGATCTGATCAGATGAATATCTGTCTTTTTGGTTTCAGAGGAGACGTAGTCCAGCAGGAAGCCTACGAGAGGGGACGTCACGGCGTCCTCGATCCCCTGCCTCTCCCATTGCAGACAGCTTGCACTTATTTCAGGCAGATAAGGTGAGACATCAGCTCCACAATGAGCAACAAAAGAAATTGACGGGGATTCACCGCTTCAAATTTGCCCCTTTTTCTGTCATTATTGCAAAGCCTGTTATGAATATCAAAATTTGGGCCTATCAAAATGTTGCCAATATTACTATATCATACATTTAAAAGTGTGGCCCTACCTTCAAGTGTGTTTGCCTCTTTTAGAGGGGGATCTTACAGCATGCATGGCCATGCTTGCATGGAACAGTTCTGGTATCAAGACAGATTTACATTCCCAAGAAGTTGAATGACAGCAAAGTTTGCCTAGCTTGCCCTAGAGCTGGCATGGTTACTCTATATCATAACGTGCTCCATGGCAACCGCTGCTGAAACAGTATATATAAATTAGTGTGCTTACTCCTGAATCTGTGTCAGAAGCAGTGATCTGTTTTATGCCTTTCCCTTAACCTGACTGCATTTATGGTAATTTCCTCTGATTCGAACCTTTGCCAAGGAGGGAAAAAGCAAATCACAAAACACAGCTTTCTAGTATTGTAGATGTTATGTTTCATTAATTATTATTGGATGGAAATATCAGGACGTGATTCTGTTGTATACAATTGTGTAGCGAAAATAAGTGGAACACTAAACCCTTCTGATTGTAGAAGTTGCAACCCCCTTGACCATCTGTTGGACCTTGTTACATTGGGCAGTTAATATTAGCAACCGGATCTCTCTAGCAGATGGATTATTTGGCTGGCTGGATGGCTTGGACTCTCAGGCCGATTGGCTTCAGAAAACCTGTGGAACTGTTCATATGCTATCTTCAGCAGGGCTTCTTGCCAAAAACCGTGTAGGGGTTACAGTTAATGTTTGGTGTCTGTACACAGGACAGTTTAATGGGCAGAAAGTCATTTGCTCAGTAGCACATTAATTACTGGCAAAGATTTTTATGCTTTCTGTTTAGATACAATAATTACCCATGTGTTGTTTGATTTTTTTTTTTTTGCCGTCAGGAGAAAATGGCCAAGGATAAAGCACGTCTTCGAGGAAGTCTGTCGTCAGCCGGTCGACAAGATAGTGACACTGAGTCAGTAGCATCCTCCACAAGAGAAAGAGTTGTGGGCCGAAGAGAAATGAGGGTACATACTCTCTTTGGATTCATTAGATGGATCTAATTAAAAAGGAGAAGTCCTCTCAACTATCATCCACAGAAAATCAGTAGTCAGTTGTTCTATAGCGACCACTTTCCAGACCTTCTCAAATGAGGTGTTCCAGGTTTTATTTCAAAGCAAAATTTATAAGGACATCAATAAAAAGCAGTGTAAGTGAAACTAGTCCTGGGTAACAAGACATATAGAAATAAATTTTACTGTAACTGTGTTTTGCCAGAAGTCATAATTTAAATAAAATTTTATGAGAAGTTGATGTATGATAACATATGATTTTTAGTAATGTTGTTGAGTGTGTGTTTTAACTCAGTTATAGGTTCAAATTTCTTTATGTTTAATCATTTTCTTTTCTTGACTCAAGGCTAGAATGGAGCGAGCAGCAATGAGTGACACAGAAGCATTTATACAGAGCCCTGTCTGGAGCCATACTGGAGGAATCAACACCAACAAACAGCAAACTACACAAAACCATGTTACAAGGTCACCCCACAGTGTTAGCAAGATTCACAGCCGAGGGTATGAATCTGACCAAGTGGATAGTTTCCGCACACCAGTCCGATCTCCCAAAGAGCCTCAGATGCAAGTTCGTCACACCCAGGCACTAAGGAGTAGCAGCGTAGGTTATGGCAGGGGATATGAGTCAGACCAGGTGGATGCAAACTGGTCTCCACGGGATGTGTACATTCAAAGACAATCCCAACAAAATTTGGAGACAAACCGCAATGGCAATGCAGCAAGCAGTGCTGCTGTTGGTCGTAAGTCATGGCGATTGTCACATCAGCGTAGTTCTGGTTACGGCACAGACCCTGAGTACAGTTACACAGTGTCACCAATGGAAGACAGAGAATCCAGGATGGCTGATGTGAAACAGAAAAGAGATGAAATCCTGCCTCCACCTTACTACAGAGTGCGGCAGCTAAGGGCAAGTGCCCACTCTAGATCTACTCCACGTAGGCACCTGCTAAAGGCACAACCTCAAAGCTATAAAGATTACGGCTGGATTGATGGTCATACACCATCCAACCCAGGCAATCAAGCTGCAACTGTTACCCCTCAATCAACCCATGAAGTAAACGCAGGGTTGAGATCTCAACCTAGGGAAATGGAGACGAGAAATCAACTTACTGGCAATGACTTGCAGACTTCAAGGAAACAACCTCAGTTTAAAGGAACATCAGTGAGAAGTAGGAGTGATCCATCAGCCCACTCCGATACAGAGCTGGCATCAGGTCAAAGATGTGACAAACCTACTTACGTACACCCATTTCAAAGAGAAGCTGTCAATAAACATGACAACCCTCAAAATGATAGAATTTCCCCAAACAGCAAACAAGTATTTTCTGCTGGCCCCAATCAGGCACGCAGCAGGCAACATCCTGGATCAGGGTACCTGGTGGAAAGAAAGAGAAATTTCCCTGCTGATGACAGAGTACCACAAGTTAGTAAAGAACACCAAAGCAGCCACAGTGATGGAGGAGACAGGCATAGAAAAGACACACAGTTCCATGATACTTTACAAAGAAAGCCTCCAGTTTTGGCTGAAGAAAGCTATAATACACACTTTCCTAATTCAGAAAAGCCAGGCTCTGAATTCAACCAACACCCATCCAGGCCAGCAGACTTTACAACCACCAACACAAGACAGTCCAATTGGCCACACAACAAGCTCACAAACCCTGAGAGTGAACCAGTCCCCACACAGATACACTGGCAGACATTGAAGACAGAGGATGGCAACCCTGAATATCTCAACTCACTGGAAGGTAGGCGACAACAGGGGGCAGCCCGTCTGAACCCACGAATCAGCCATAGCCTGCCTAGGGATGTGACCACTTCCCCAGAACAGCCAGATGAGGAATTTAAACTCAATCTCACCCAACAAAAGTCATCATCTCTACCTAGGTCAGAAGTTAGAAGTGACAGGGCATCAAAGGAGACCACCACAGAAGACCAGGATTATGGCACAGTGACTGATCGCCAAAGACATAGAGTAAGTATCTATATTCATTTCGTTGGTTTGGGCTTTGTAGTGAGTCCACATGCATGTTCACACTGCAGCAAGAAGATGAAAAATCTTTGGGCCAATATTTACCTTAGTGCTTAGAGAAAGCACAGCAAGCAATAGCTTTACACAAACAGCCTAGCAGCCGCTATGTCAAGCAATGCTCACTGCATGTAACTGGTTCAGAGCAGATTTGTCCTTCATACTTTGACTTTGTAAGCAATATTTTCTGACTGTTTTCTGGTACTGGTTTCTGTCCAAAATTCGTATTTGTAAAAGCAATATGCAAGTATGAGGAGAGGCTTTTAAAAGCAAACTGTTTTGCATGGAAGCAGAACCCAGACCAGTGTTCCTGCCATTCATTTCATAGGCTGTGAATGTGATGAGTGGCAACCAACCATAGCCAGTAGGTTCATTTTGTATTCATTTCGTTTGATTTTTTTTATTTGTTTCTAATCTGAAAGTGTATAAATTGACCTAAGAATTGAGAACACAATCTGTGAATTTAATTTGAAAGGTAACTGTCATCAAAAGACATTTTAATTTGACTTTCATCAGATGTTAACAATTTTATGAAACAACTCTGTATGATCGTTTCCTGGTAACCTGATCTTCACTGATTCTAACTTATTGTAGTTTGTGTTTCTACTTAAATTGGAATATGTTTTGTTTTCTTTAGAGCGTCAAGATGAGACTCCATGGAGGAGCACCCAACTATGCTACCTCTGAGCCAGAGCTCAGACAGTCCTTCCAACCTCCACCTCAGACAGGAACTCCCATGGACCAAGCTGGCTGTAGACTTACCCTGCAGCCCAGAGGTGGGACAATAGAGCAGAGGAGGTCACAAAGTCCAGTCTTCGAGAAGCGTGATCAAAGTGGTGCAGGAGAGGCGGTCAGGTTCCCCCTCGGTCTAACCTCATCTACACCTAGTGTTGGTGGTGGTTCTAGACCACAGAGTCCCACACATTCACGACCACACAGCCCCACTAATCCTACCCACTATGGAAGCAGACCAAACTCTCCCAAGGACCCAGATGTATCTCAGCAACCCAAATCATTTAATCCTATAAATCGGAACAAGTCCAGTAAGCTCCCTCTGCATGCAAATGAAAGACACTATGACAGCGACTACACACTCGAAAAACCCAACTATAATCGCAGGGGCTCAGACTCCTTTATCACACAGAGGCCAAAGGTCAACCGGCAAAACAATCCCCCAATCTCTTACCAGAGTAGACTGAGAGATAGTCTTCGTGGGGCACTCCCTACCCCCATAGTGGGCAGTGCCCAACATCAGACCAAGCACAGTATCAATACCCCTGAGTTGAACCCACGGGGCACATCCAGTCAATCATCTAATGTGCCTTACCCAGACTTGTGGCCTCAGGATTCCTCAGGTTATGCTAGTGACCAGAATGACCAGGGATGGAAGAGAGGTAAGGAACAGCCGCATTTTCAGACTTTTCTCCATGTAAATTAATGGTTTTTAGTTTGAGGTTTTTACATGTATGTATCTGCTCAGAAGTTAACCACCTGTAATCAAGACCCATGTGTTCATTGGTTGACATTTCAATAAAAACTTCAATGACCAGGGATGGAAGAGAGGTGTGGGTGGTGGTTTTTGGTGAAATGTTGTGATGCATTCATTAAGTTAAAAGAATGCTGAAACATTCCATAGTTCAAAGCCTCTCATTCTAAATACAGCCCTCTTCAATTATTTGCCCCTGTTATTACATGAGAAGAAGGAAAGCTGAAAAGAAAGCCAGGTAGCAAAAGGCTTGGTATTTGAAGGGCAGACACCACCATGAAAATGTGTGGCTTCTTGCAGGGTACATAGTTTTGTTTTCCCATTCCCACTTCAAAAAAAAATGTTCTGCCCCTACAGTTGTGTCTTATTGTGAATATTGATATATCTTGCGGAATGTGGAGCCTGCATGATTTATAGATGTAAACCTTTGTTTGCTTGCCTGTTTTCTAGCTTCCTGCAGCACGCCTTCATCCTCAGTCTTTCAAGGTCAATCATCTCCACCTATGTGGAGACCAGGGTCAGATGTCACACCACCCAACCATCGATCAAGGCATCCCTCATCAGAGCCTCCAGACAAGCCCGTGGAAGCTAAAAGGGTGAGAAAGTGCTTACTGTAGCCTCCTAAATCCTTACCACCTGCAAGATATAGTGAGAAAGTCATGCAGATGAGCTTTATTTAAGTAAACATTAATGTTTTAGGCCAAGTCCATAACAAGTCCTACAAGCTCGATACATGTGATCCAGTCTGAAGCCAAATCATGAGAACTGTGGCAAAAGCATTCCTCTTTCCTTGTACACCCTGTTACTTGTGCCTGGTCTTGTGAAGGGACTTGTGATGGACTTGACTGCAGCACTGTATGGAGTCCAGAAATAACTGAACATTTTGTCATCCATCGGCAGATTCCGGTAGTCATCTACAAGAACCCAGGCCTTGGTTTTAGCATCACGGGAGGTAAAGATGCCCCAGGGAACCCTTTTCGACCATTTGATTGGGTGAGTTAAGAAAAAAGGAGATTTATGTCAAATACTGGTGATTATTGTTAATTTACACCACCGTCTGCACTTACCCTGTCGTTAACACAAAATGATTACTAATGGTCAGTTCTTTGTAGCAGCATATTCCAAGAACTGCAGAGTTTGTGTGTTAGACATATAAACATGAAGAGTCCAATCATGTCAGTAGCATTTCTGTAACAACTCCAAACTTAACTTAAACTACATTTATGTCAGCACAAAGAGGAGATGACTTAATCATACATAGTGTTTCACAAGTGTGTATGTGCATGTCATCTTGCATCAAGTTGGAGTGTACTTGACCTTTCGCCTTGTCATATGATGTCACCGTTATTTTAGGATTATTATCTTTTTTGTCAGCATCAAAGCTGCTTATAAATATAAGCATCTTTTTTTAAGTTTAGTGTGAGCAAACAGTGGGATACAGTGTACATGGAGCTGTAACAACGTCAGCCTCTTCACACGCACAAGGTGTCAATACAAACGTCAGGATTTACTTTTTATACTTAAAATGTACTTCTGAATTATTTGCTAGCCTCTTCCTCAATTTCAGTCTGGTTGCAAAGAACTGCCTTCATGATGATTATCTTCCATTATCCAGGGTATATTTGTGACCAAGATCCAGCCTGGTGGTCCAGCAGATGGGGTCCTTAGGCCAGGAGACAAACTTTTGGAAGTCAACGGTCGAAGCTTTGCAAGCATCCTGCACGATGATGCAGTCAAAATGTTGCGCAAGAGCAACCCTGTGTCTATCGTGGTCCACCGACTCTGTACCGACAACCGCTGAGTAGTTATGTATTCAGTAATTAAAGACATGCAAAGGCATCATATCTTGTGATTATAGAAGAAGTTGATTGTTTGAAAGACTTCACAACATAGCAGCTGCTTATAGCTATTAAGGGCATGACAGTTCCCAAACAGTGAGATCATTACACTGATGTTGGTTCCCTCTAAGCAAGGGGAAAGCATGTAGCACACAGGTATGGACCAGTGTTGCTTGTGTTCCAGGCATTGCCTGAAAGTATCAATACATATTCGTTCCATGCATTGACAACAGATGGCACATTTTTACATAGTAATAGCAAACTTCAAGCTGAAACACACTGCATGTGCCCACCATCTTTGCACAGGCTTCATATAACCCGCTAATGGAATGTACCAGTACAGCTGCCATGTGCATGCCAGGTGTGTATACTCGATACTGCTTGGAAAGTACTCCACCAGCCTTTCTCTTTGCCACTGAGGGAGCTCTTCTAGTCTGATTAGAGGGAAAGCCATTTGAGGCTGTTTGTTCAAACCTCAGCTTCATGTCTTACACTAGCATTGCTCTTGGAACCAATACGTGTCTGTTACTGTGACATAAGTATTACAGTGTGAAGGCGAATCATAAGACTTTCCCTTTGGTTTGCATATTGAAGGCTTTAAAATGGCTAAGCCAGAGACAAAGTCAAGAATTGAAAGGGGCATTCTAGCCTTTTGGTGTTCGTATGCTGGTGGCCTCCCAGCAAGGCATGCTTCTTTTCCTTGGATCAGCTGATTACCTTGTGTTTTACTTCACACTCATGCCATCAAAAATTAAAAAACACACTCTACAAAGTCTTGTAAAGATCGAAACTTCCTCCTCGCTTGTCAAAGTCCAGCATGCGTTGCTGCTCAATGCCTTCATAAATCAGAGATGTCATGAATGGTTCATGTTCATTTTTCTAAGGAGGCAAGGCCTTGGAACAGATGTAGCCTTCTCTTATGTTTAGCGAAGTATGATTTCTTTGGAAGAACCTTGAAAACAATTACTGTAAACTAAGCCTTCATATTTTGTATTCCTGGAAAAAAATAATCAAAACCTTGAAATCAGTCATCAAACACTGATGAGTGAATGGCTGAAGAGACTATATTTTGTAATAAAAGTTGTGTCTATTAAAAAGAGTATTCATGTACTTTTGGCACATTGCAGCCATGTTTGTTCAGACTAACTGTGCTTTCAATTTCTGCCCAATGCAGGTTTTAATCTTTCTATGCACTCTTTCTAATGGGTTTCCATTTGCAAGTTTTTGGTATTTACAGGTGCGCTTTGAAGAGTCAAAAATTCCAGTACATGTATCTGAAAAACTGAAGTAGCCTGAAAGTTTTTGATATTTGGAGAGCAAACACAATTAAATACCCTTATATTTAGATAATATTTTCTACTTTTTCCCTGCCTTGAATGTTTTTGAAAGAAAAGATATAGTTTAACATAACCGACGATAGTCTTCAAGAGGGGACATTCAAAATGTGGTTATTCAAGTAGAGAAGAATTTATTTTGGATATGCAAACTGATCCTTTAACAGAAGAAAGAATTTCAAATCAGGCTGAGGAAATGTTTTAGAAGCACAATTAGCCTGGAAGAATGCTGGAAGAGTTTTATTCTAAAAGTCATATAGAATAGAGAAAACACTTCTTTGTTTCTATTAAGGTATTTTTCCCACAGCCATCAGTGAGGAGCAGGCTATTTTTAAATTGTTAATCTGTTAATCTGAAAGGAATAGATTATCCCATAAATCACTGTACACTACAAATTGCCATATTCACTGTTGTTATACTTAGGATTCCATTCAGTTCGTTGTTTGAGATATGTTACCTACGAGGCAAATCTGTCCTTTTGTAACCATAGACATTATGTCTTTGTCAAGTAATCAGCCTCAAAGCTCACCAAAATTGAGGCACTTCTGGATTACATCTGACCACAGAATTGAGTATTTTCCCCAGGCAGGACCAAGAGGAGGTTGAATTTTCCCAGCAGTGAATGCTCCTTTGGTAGGAACTGCACTTCACTGATCAACAAATGACTGTGAAGTGCATGCAGTGTCAGTATACCAACAAAACGAACATTCCCCACCAACATGGCACATTTCAACCCACAAGGGGGTGCCTCTGATCAAAGTGGAGTATCCCCTCAGAGGAACTGGCCTTCATGGAATAAAGAAGCCCAAATTTTGTAGTTATCCACAAGCTTCAGAACAACCAACATTTTGCTTCAATGGGTGCTATTAGAATGAATGTTGGTAACAAACAAATTATTACCATACTGTTTGTGCCACATTTTCTCTTTTCAAGAATTCATCATTTTGTAAAATTCATACAGAGATGTTATTGCTGCTTTATTGATATACATTTTGATAAACAGACACAATTACCATGTATTCAACCTAATGCTAAATCAAGAAGTATTTAAGTTCCACTAAATTACTAATTAATACCAGGGGAATGTTGTGTATTAAAGTTATTTAGGCCAGTTCTTTCTTGAGAAAAATAATTTCCCAATGTTGATTAAGTTCCTGCACTTAAACTGTAACTAGTATTACTTATTGCTGGGGATGTCAAGGTGTTATGCTTTTCCTTTCCCATTGAAACAAGACAAGTGATTCGTGTGTTGTCAACATGCTTTGAACTTTTAATGGCTTATGATCTTGTAGTGTTATTGGAAGAATTCAGTTCAAACTTGAAGCACTTGCTGGACCTATATGTTAATTGGCTGCCAAATGAATGTTTTGTATATGCCATGATCTATGCAAAGTTTTCCTCAAGTACTTTTAACAAAGTGCTTGCAAATTATTTTCCTGCACGGGCCACAATTTGCACTGGATTTCTCCATTGGCCACAGATGGATAGGGGATTGGGGAGAATATGACTGTAAGAATACACCAGATAATTATTTCCTCTGTGATCTGTTCATAAAACAGTTTTTCTTGAATTTGTTTATTCAATTTGCAAGTTTTCTCCAGCATGTCAGGTGTTCATGTCACTGCTTGGAATTAATCCGATTTTGTGTTACTGCAGCCTTACACACTTGTTCTGTAGTTTTCAGGACAACACCAATGTTGAAATCTGAGACCTGGTATTGGGGGACTAGTAATTAGGATTCAGATCCCATAACTGAAGATGCAAATGGCAAATCAAATACAGACACGTGACAAACATGCATCATAGACATAGCTTCAAACTCTGCACTGTATTTGACAAAGTCATTATACTGTATCTCAATTATATTCAATCTTTTGAATCGTGCGTATGAACTTCAACACATATTTAAAATTGAGCTTTACAACTACATTTGCAACTTTATCTAAAAGGTCGACATTTGATTAAGGGTGTTTTGTTTGGTGTGATCCAAAATCAGGATCATTTAAATCATTACATTTGCTGGGAGGGATGTGCTGTAGTCAAGTGCTTTTGATTACAAAGTGTTTATTGCAAAGTACATGTATTCCAATATTATAATAATTAGAGGCTTTTCACAGATTGCTTTGTGATGTCATGAACGTTTTGTACTTTTTATGTGTGCAGACCAGCTTTTTGAAATTTTAAAGATGACTTTTACCCTTTTTTGGTATAAACCCAAGGCCTTTCTGGCCAGGGAAATTTTGAGGTGGAAAGTTCACCATTCCCATTAACTTCTAATTGAGTATTCTCCAGTGTAGATTAATTTAGCAATATTAATTAAACGTCATTACTGAAGTGGTTTATTGCAACCTACATGCATAGGTCATATTCGATGGCCCATTGACAAGTCATTGAAGAAAAACTTGCCAAAATGGATGTCTACATCAGCTGATGTATGCCTGATCACAGTATCATGACTTTAATATCTTTAATGTCATGATTGCCAGATAGTCTTGTAACTGTTTAATACTATTTTGCTGTGTTTATTTCATGTGTGTTGAAAATGTTGAACTTAGGCTGAAATTACAATTTCTTATCTGCTGATTGTACAAAGGCTGATGATGTGTGATTGTGAAATGCATTGTTTTCTGTAATTCTAACCAAAATGTGAAATAGTTACGATATTTGGTATGAAGGTACAGTTGGAACCTTTACATATGACCATTTATACTGGGTGAAAGTGTCCAACAGCAAAGTAAAAAGTACCATTTCTAAGAACTATTTATTTAAAGCTTAACCTTACCCACGTAGGTACATGTAGTTATTTATATCAAAAAGAACCAAATTTATATTCTTTCATGTACAGCGTTTCATACTTTTCATATCATTTTGTAGCACTTGTATACACCAGTGTTAGACCAAACTGTTCCAGAAAAATAAATGTTTTCAAGTTGTGAAATGAATTGGTGAGTGTGAGTTGTCGTTCCTCGAGGATTAATGGGTACAGTATTCTCATCTTCCAGTAGAAATGTGAAGCAATTTTTTCTACAAAAGCAAACTCTGTCATATTCCAATTCTCATAAACTATTTGAAGGTGAAAAACCACGACAATCATGATCATTTGACTTAATTCTTAGAACTACAAATATCACGGTTTGTCGGTATGTGTATTGATGATACATGTGCTACTATTACATACTATTGCTATTACAAGATCATTTTTAATTATATTGATGTACCGCAAAAATGGGCCAAGAATTTTGGAAATGTCCAAATTTATTTCATTGGCTTTAGGACAGATTAATTTTACTAAATCTCTTCAAAATTTGTCGACCTTTTCCAAACGCGCATTGGGTCGACAAATTTCACGCGTTGTGATTGGCCAACGCGCTGCAAACTCTTAGTGGCACACTATTGTGAAACGGCCGTATTACAGTGCAATTCTGTTAAGTTTATAAGGCATTCCAGAATAGAAAGGACAAGATAAGTTTCTAACCAATCAAAATGCACAGAAAAAGGTTGCTTTCCTTTTGTTATAGCCAAACTCCAAACAAATCAGACCCAGAGACGGTAGCCACTAATACATGTACCTACAACAGTGACTTGTTCAATTTCACCAGTTTTGAGGGGAATGAGGGGATACCCAGGGGGTGCACACATTTTTTCAGGGGGACACAAAGTAATAATGCCCTGATGTTTACTATAAAAAATGATGAAACCCTTGTCTTGTATATGGTAATGTTACGTGCGCCAAATCCACCACAAAATAACTGGCCAAGGGCACGACAGAAATAAAGAAAATGAGCTCAGACTGATTCGTTCACAATTATAAATTTAACTACTATTTTAATAACTACAAAAAAGGAGAGAAGTACAAGTAAGATGTTGATCCACCTAAAGATGGTAGCAGATTACATCATGCAATTTGGGACTTCGATACATAATTAACAATTACATTTTTAATTAACACCAGTAGGACGTGCATGCGTGAGGCTTGGGCGTGGTTGACGTCCGTCCGGTTCCTGGGCCGCACTTCCCGCGCGTCTGGGCGCCTGAACAGGACTGGTGACGCACTGCTCCTCTAGAGCACTGAGCCGGTCTGGCCCAAGCCATCTAGGAAGTTCATTGAGCTAGTGAGCCTAGGGGCGCCTAACAACCATCGCAGGAGAGTCCGGTGGCGTGTGAGCTAAAGACAAGCCCACGTTCTCGGCATCGTCTCGTGACTCAAGTTTTGGGGTTGGCTACCAAAACGTGTTGGGGGACACACATTACAGCGACGAAGAGAAGAGGACGGAAGCCTCCGACTGACCCGTGGTAGTATAGCGTGTGTTGTGAGCGATGTCATGCCTAGCCTTATGAGGTGATTTTCGTCAAGGTTAGTGCATACTGACGAGTGCACCCAAAATCCAAAATAAATAAATAAATAAATAAATAAATCTTAGAGACAATTGGCAGTATAGAGATAGGACGATAATTGCTTATACTACAGTTGTCTCCTCTCTTGTGAATTGGTGTCACCAGAGCATGTTTCCAGTCTTTGCGATAGGCTCCCAAAGAGGTTAAAGATGTGAGTTGGACATTTGGTAATACATTGGGAAGCCATTTTGATCATTTTAACACTTATCCTATCTGGACCTGTTGATTTCCCTTCTGACATAGATGATATTTGCTTTCGAACAAATTCTTCTGTAATGTGAGGTATCACGCATTCATCGTCGAGGGAATCATTGATAGGAGCATCAGCATTATCGTCTTTTTCAGGCTCGTACAAGGGACCGTTACCACGTTTGCGTTTTCCAATTGTAGAAAAGTGTTCATTAAATATATCAGCAATGTCAATAGGATGTCTTATCCATTTGGACAAAGGATGGAGTTTGGAACACTTTTCTGATTCTTCAGGAGAACCTCCTTTAGCTTTTATCCATAACATAAATGAATTGCTTTTGTTTTCTTCTATGGCTGATGTGAAGTATTCTCTTTTCTTTTGACATATTTTCTTAGTCACCGTGTTACGCAGTATTTTGCAAGAATTCCAACGCATTTGTGACCCTGTGCGATTTTGTGCAAGCGATCACGTTGCCTCATAAGTCGAAGAATTTCCCCATCGAGCTAGTGAAAGGAGGCACCCCGAATACGTTTAGTTTTGATCGGTGCGTGGAACTTGATAATGCTCATAAATAGGGAATGCCAAATAGACCACGCTTCGTCGACGTCATGACAATTAAGACATGTTGCCATGGTGAAATTGATCGGCAACACAATGTCCAGTCACATTTTTATGCAGATGACCCAGCTGTACACTTCATTCAGACCCAACCTTGAAGATGATGATACTAAGATGCGCCATTCTCACATCATATCCTTGCATGACACCCAGAAATGGATGCCAGAATTTTTTTTGAGGTTTAACTCACACAAGACAAAGTTCATGATAATTTCTTCGCTACGACTTCAACACAAAATCCAAATCCACGACCTACCAATAAGTGGCGATGTTCTAGTACCCAGTACGGATGCCCGCAATCTCGGTGTGATGTTTGACCGGTTCCTAAACTTTGAAAAACACGTGTCCAAGGTTTGTCAGACATCATACATGCATCTAAGAAGAATAACAAATATCAGACACTTTCTCAGAACGCAGCAGAGCAACTCATTCATGCCTTTGTTACAACCAAACTCAACTTTTGCAGCATCCTGCTCGCTGGTCTTCCACACAGTACGATTCATCATCTGCAACTTGTACAGAATGCTGCCGTACGTCGTCAACAAGCTCCAAAAGAACTGATCACATAACTCCCATCCTCAACAAGCTACATTGGTTACCGATCAAATATAGAATTCAGTTCTTAAGATCCTCCTCACATTCAAGACATTCCACAGCCCTGGCCATCTTTATTTAACAAGCATGCTGCAACCCCGCTCTGTCATGTCTGAGGTCAACAAGCAAGCAATTGCTGTTCCCTGGACTTGGCTGGCCAGTTATGGAGACCGAGTTTTTTTTGGCATTGCACCTCGTTTATGAAACTTGCCCTCTGATCATTTGAATCAAGAACATGACGGAGTTTCAGGTGGAAAGGCTTGCGGCAGCACCATGCGAAGGAATATATCTCTTATGAATGTGTGAGGTTCTGAAGAACTGGGAGTATACTCAGCGTTTCGGACTACGTGCTCATTCCGTCGTCAGAGCCGCTTACATAAATATCTGGATGCAGTGGGGTGTGACGAGGATGCTAGTGGCTTATGGCGGGTTCAGCTGGGCGCTCATGCGGGACGGGGTCCAGCAGGTCAGTGAGGCGTGTCAGGTGGGCATAGGTTGGGCGGGGTGAGGTGGCCGGGGTTATAGGAGACCCCATTAGCGGGGTGGGGGTGTCCTAGGGTAGAGACGACCCATTGGACTGGGAGGTGAGCAGGGGTTGCCAGATGTCACTGATGGAAAAGCCGATGTCTTGGGGAACGGTGTCGTGCTTGAGAATCTCAAAGGCTTTTCTGATGCGTCTTGCGTACCAGTGCTCGATGCTGGAAGGCCCCCTACGTGATGAGGTGGGCTTGGTCCCAGTTGATGCGGTGGTCTTCAGAGTGTAAATGCTTGACTATCGCTGACTTCTCATACTCTCCCTTCCTGCTATTGGCTTGGTGTTCTTTGAGTCTGGTGGGGGGTTCCCTACCAGTCACACCAATACACACTTTACCGCATTGGCAGCCTCTTGTATACCCCTGGTCGGTGGTGCGGATCTTGTCGGTCCAAGTCCTGTGGATGTCAACGTGCTGCGGATCTTAAGAGGGGCTTTGTGGAATGCCTTGACGTAAATGACATTAAACAGTTTCAGCAGCGTCTCAAAACATTTCTTTCATGACATTAGCCCTTTTTCATCGTAAACAAAACTGAGTTTTCGTATTCCACGTTAGACCGCCGCCTTTGAATGTTTCCACAGATTAAGTGCGCCTTATATGTGCTTTAGTTATTATTATTATTATATTATTCCCAAAAATCAATCTAAGAGAGAGCGTCTTTAAATGGAATGGGATAGAGCCATCACTTAACCAAATATTGAAATATTCACAAGCTTCTTTCGTTGAATGTTTTCATAGTTGAGGCAAAGCAAGATTGTGTTCACTATGACCACTCATTTTTGGTGGTTTCCTCAAGTAAATAAAAGTTTTACTGAAACATATCCCCATACTATTTTGAACTTAAAAGATTTAAAGCTTACGCATGTCATTAAGTTTGTGATGTCATCTAAGGCAAAGCTTTATAACATCGTGGCTGTTTTGTGCACAAAAACTAAAACCACTTGTTTCCGGTACCGGACACGTGTTCTTAATACGCTCGTCCGGCGTCTCCAGAATTGGACAAAGGGAACTGGGCTTTGTAACAAAAGACCGTACTCGTAACAAAAGACTAGGCTGCTAGGCATTACAAGCATTCTTTTCACTGTCAACAGTGGAGACAATTCAGCATTTTTTGAAACAGTATCCCACGGTTTGGGGCATTCAGTGCGAGCAGATTACCACCGGGGACAAAAGCGCTCCACAGCCGAAGCGATGAGCCACACAGTACTGCTGTACACCAGGCACGAAGTGGGACAGAGGGGTAACCCCCACCATTACAATCCCTGTACACACTCCAGCCTACTGTAACTTAACACATCCCCCTTGATGTCTGAAAGAATTCCTGAGATACCAGTATAAAAATAATCGACACAAAGGCGGGCGGGGTTCTCTCTGGCCCATAGTTTGCTTCATATGTGCCGCTGCACGCTAATCTGGGTTCTTTATTTTATGTTTAATGCTTCCGTGAGACACTTTTCCTGTTAGGAGTTTACAAAACATCACCTTCATAATGTGCAGTTTAAGATATGTCATTTTTGGAAAATTTAATTATTGCATCAGATCTTACAATAATTAACTTATCTTTTTTAAAGCATTAAAAGTGGATTTGAAATGCTGACATTTCAAGATATTGATTGCTCAAAAGATCTTCCAGTGAGAATTATATATCATGCATGACAGAGCACAAAACCAAAACAAAAATTGGCCAACCCTACACCATACAGGTTTCATGCTACGTGATCGCGCATCGCAATCACAGCACACTTATCGTAAAATGACGCCGCGTACGTACGACAAACACAACCAACGACTTGATTTCAAGTCTAAAGTCTTGCGCGCTACCATAACATCATCTGTTACAAGTAGAGACTTAACTTAAAGTTACCAGGAAATAGAAATATTTTATAAATTTTACTAAAAACCCTTGAAATTGCATCTTTGGGACTCAATTAACCCATTTCAGTTAACTCATTTTAAATGTTTGTTTTGCAATTTTAACCCATATTCTGATGCCTTATTTGGTTTTTATGCTATTGCATATTCATGTGCAGAACTATGATGTCATCCAAGGCACTGAATCTCAATGTTGCACTGATTTGTGCACAGAAAATTTCTAGATTTTTGCTATAGGATCCGCTTTGTTTGAGCAAAACACTGTAGTTCACATGTGGATACTTTCATTTAAAAGAACGGGGGATTTTCAAACACTTAAATCTGAAGAAGACTGTTGTCCAGCACATTTTCAGGACTACCAAAAGATAATCTTTGTTTGTAAAGCAGATTTGGGTATTTGCCAAGTATGAATTCATGCATTCACAACAAGAGGTTTTAAGCTAGGCTCTACATTTTTAGGCATTACTAATGTAATCTTATGTCCTTCCCTTTTTGCTTCAAGACCAAAACTTTTCAATGCAAAGTTTGATACTAAGATTAAGACTCAAATTTTACATGCAAAACGTGTAGTTTATTGGTAAAATCACTTTTCACCCTGAAAATGAACTATTGCAAAGACTTAACATTAGAAAATATTTGGATTTACTCTAAGTTTGGGGACCTAAAGATGTAGTATTTCCTACAAAAGGCTGTTCTCAGCAGATTCACCTCCACTGCCTTATTATTGTTAACATGGATTTTTGAAATCATAATTCCACAAAAATTCAGACTCTAATTTTAAAAGCCCCGTGTAGTTTCGTCACCGGAGTGGTTTTTATAGTTGCACGTTTTTCGATATCAGCTTTTTTGCAATTTGTCGATGAGCTTTGCTTTTGTCTATGCTTGGTAAGTTTGGTGATTGAACTGTCAGTTTCTTAATACTTCCTTTAAAAAAAAATAATAAACAAGCCTTCATCTTGCAGATGGGAACAGTCTTGAAAATGAATTTCTGATAAGCTGGTTATTGAACTCACCGACATTGATGGGCTGTAATACATACTAAAGCCTTGCTATTTAAGTTATCAGCCAAGTTACCAAATACACTCATCAGGTCATTAAGAAATTCATCAAGCATTTCCTACTTAACACTTGTGACTTCCATTTATATAAAGCAACAGAATCTTAAGAGGACAAACCAGACTTTTGGGGGGGGGCTGAAAACTGGTCATTTATTTGAAAGTTGTTTCCTTGAAAATCAGCAAAGTGTGAATAGCTTCAGGGGTGCAATTATAAATATAAAAAAGGGAATGTTGATTTGACATCAAAAGCAGTCAAAAATTTGGTTTCTCTCAATTCTGCCTCACAAAACAATTAAAAAGTGAAATACGTTTGGCTCCAGAATTGAAACTAGTTCACAGAAATACAAACATGACATTCTGAGACCACTGAATCGTAAAAACGTAAGCAATGCAACTTAAAAATGACAGAAAAACGGATGTTTAAACACTAATACAGTTGAACCTCGTAAATTAGAGGTACCTCTGACTTGGCAGAATACCTTGTTATAATAAAAACCTTGTATTACCAGGAATGAGAACAATGAAAAACACAGGATTGGGACCTAAATATTTTCTTGTTAAAAGCAGAATCTTGTATTAAGTGCAAGATGACATGTGGGCAATGGAGTTGATCTGATTTACCATGTTTACATCATATCATTTGCATGCAGGACTGCATGGAAAACATTTCTATACAAATGAAATAAAAGTATCAAAAACACTATTCAACAACTTGCAGATTTTATCCTCTCAAGACCATTTTCATCAATCCACACGCCATGAATGCTGAAAAGTGTGAAAGAGAGCAGGAAACACCAAACAATGTAACAAATTCAAGTCAGCCAGTAGAGCTGTGAAGTCAGGCATCAAGTTGAGAGGTCAAGGGTCAAAGGACCGACTTGGTGTAGATATAGGTGATTCTTTTTTACAAGTAGAGACTAGCAGCAAACACAATGTCTCTTTTGATCTTGGCAATACCTGAAACAAGACAGACAATTGTCATGTATCAACCTCATTACATAACTAGAAACAGCCAATAAGATTACTTCCATTTCACAACAATACAGTTGGGAGGGTACTTGTATTACTACAGTTGCACATTTTTAACTTCCTGGCCAGTTTGTTTTCTGTTTCTCCTTGCAGGCCGTAACTAATCCTGCACACTCACCACTAGCAAACTTGTTTTCCAGTTCTGTGTTTCCAATAGCCTTAGCAGCATGACACATCTCTCTCAGTAGCTCTTCTAGCCTTCTCATACAACGGATGATACTGCCTGTCAATGCATGGAAGAAGAAAAACATTTGCCTACTAGACAAGGGTGAAAATGACTGGATGAAATCAATGTAGCCATTAAATTAATTATTGATTTATGCATTTGCAAACAAAAATTATAAATTTAAAACAACAAAAGTTGTAATTATTTTAGTAATTTCAGATCACACAGAATTTCTGCTGTTATAATGATTGACATTTCTATCAGGTGTTAAACAAATACTAAATAAAATAACAAAAGCCAAAAGACTGACATTAATTTTACAATTTTATCTAAGTTTGAGAGATTTGTTCTGTATTTTTAGGCACACCTACATGCCATTTGTCTTAAAAACATAATTTTAAGAAGGAACCTCAGTTTCATCCTCACTTCTCCCGAAAATTGTTGCCTCTGTAAATTTTTGAACTTCCAAAGTCCCTTCAATACATGCATGGGGAGTGCTATTTCTACTGGGAATTCCATGAATGAACAAGAGGTGGCATAGTTTGACTGGAAAAAGCATCCCCTTAGGGCAGAAAGGGTTAAAAAAAATCTTCGCATGAGCACCAGGCACCAACTAAAAATAACCTTCAGGTCAGATCATGCTTTGTGCAAAAGTGAACAAGAACACGCATTTTTGACGTAACACATTTGTACAAGTTGAACACATTTCAACTTGGGCAAAACTTCACTGCAACTTTTTGTGACATCAGATTCGCTTCACTTTCGTATTTGCCTGAAGTATGGACCGCCCTTTATAGCCCATCTCTTCTCTGCCAATAAGGGGGGTACCTGCTAATGGAGTGGACAGATATGTGGAATATCAAGCCAAGTTTACCAAAACCTGAAACATTGTCTAAAACAGTACAGTTGAAGGACATTTCTGATAGATTCTTGACACTATTACCAACATGAATAACTGTGAAGCACTCATCTAACTAGCTCTTATAAAATTCAGAATAGCTTTGAGCAATCAATTTTGATCAGTTAGCTGTTTGAACTTACACGATGATTACACAAAAGCTATCTTTGGAAGGTATTAGCCTATCGATTTGTAATCTATAGCAGCACCTAGTCGGTATTTTATAGGAGCTTGTACAAGTACATTTTACCACCCCAACAGACATGTTACTGTTTCAGCATGTCAAACTAAAACAAAATTGTGATGAGAGCTTTGAACTTTTGCTTCCAAGTTACAACTGTATATTTACCCTCAAATACATCAGTCATCTTGCAGATTTCAGCAAAGTTGGATCCATTGGCCCAAGCAAACACTACATCCATCATCTGTGGCTTGAAGGATTCCACATAATCTTCTTCTTCCACAGCTAGTTTAGCCTCAGCGCTCACTTTGGCTATTCTACGGGCTGAGTCCTGGCAAACATAAAACATGAAGGACTTATCTTTAACCCTTATACTCAACAATGCTCCAATCTCATCTAAATGGTTGTCACAAGAGTTCCAATTAGTCAGTTATTTAATTTACTATGGCCCAGTGACATCTGTGAAAATCAAAGCCCATCCCACTGTATAAAATAAAAGAATCCATGTCAGCTGAGCAACTTCATGTGAAGTTCCCATCAAGGTGAGCTTCAGCCAATCAGGGCTTGTTTGTTGCACGTACGTAACCCTGAAATGCTACTATCGTGGCACTGCATCGCTGGGTATGGCACACTGGGCCATAGGTTTTGTAGAGGATTCTCCCCACCATCAAAACAAAAGGATAAGCATTAAAAATAAGAAGAGAATGAGTAGTGAGTGAGGTTGCGCTAACCTCACTCTTTTGGTTTGATAAAAAAAATAAGTTGGAATGGCTGGGAATCAAAAGCTGTTATGTCCGCAGTTCAAAATATAAAACACAGTACATGCACGGCCCGATCAGACATGCACTTAAAATATGGTGCTTTTACCACCATGCAACAGGCCGCAATCAAATTCCAGTCTGTGGGACCACTACCACAGTGAATTCCTTTCACTGTGATGAATGTGCAAGAGCATGACACTATACGCTAACACACATTAACTGCCACATGGTACAAAGGATATGGCTCTTATAACCATGGGTCATGTTGCTAGCATTACCAGAGGATGACAGTTTTTATCATTTGCAGCAAACAGCAGCAGCAAACAGAACAATGCAACAAGCCCAACACCTTGGACAGTGGATGCAGTTAGTTGCTGTAGTTTTTGATGGGCAACTTCAGCCTATAGCTGTCAGGATTGATATTTAGCAACTTTTAATGAGTTAAAATTTTTTCATTACAACTTCCAGTCTGATGACATCATCAACCTGAATTTATGCACAAACATTGCAGCATAAAGGTTATTGTATCTACCAATTTTCAAGCGATTCTAGCAAACTTTGCCCAAAACATCTATTCAAAATGGATTTTGAATTTTTCAACCTGTAGACAGAGGGTGATTGAATTGAGTGCTGCATGATGTCACTGGTAGATGAATTAAGAAATAATATCATACCCAAAACAGCTAAACAAATTTTTGACGGAAAAAAAGTTGTTTGGGCTGATGTCCAAAACAGCTAAAAATCAAAACTGCATCAAATGCGCATTGGTGTTTTCTATTTACAATGGCACTACCAAGCGAAGGCAAAACCAAGAAATAATTGATCTAAGGAAGGCCATATTTTCAAAGATTTCTCAACTCTCCCTGTACCTGCATTTGCCTCAGAGGGCCTGACAGCTGCTCAGATAATCTGGGTACATTCTTGGATTTCTCCTCAAAAACAAAACAGCTCAGAAGGGCAGTAATCTGCTCTGGTTTCAGGCTATTGAAGACACCATTAAAGATAAGCTCTGTCAGGAGTAGTTCATCAGCACTGTGAATAGCAAACAAGACAAGAATAAAACTTGAACAACTCTCTGTCTGATACAAAGAATTTATTCCCTTGTATTGTCCAAAGGTTATGTGAATTCATGTGGTCACCTATGTAGTATTAAGATTGAGTAACCTCTAAGTCATCACTCTTCCCTTTTGGTGAACCACTCTTCACATATGGGACAATCCAATCCAGCCAGAGGCACTGTCTCAGCATGTGACAGTAGATGACTCTTCTGTTAGTCTTTTGTATTGGCTGCAGCTCAATATTGGTAACACACTCAGCTAATGACTGCACACACACAGGAGCGAGTCAAAGTCTTCTTGGCAGTCTTTATCAATTTCAAAATAAAAAATTTCATAAAATGGACAAAGAAAACTATCATCTTTCAGTGTCTGCCATCTTTACTGGAGAATTCAACTGATATGTCAATGCCGAGTAGTCAACCAAATACGTAAGTAATAAATGAGGTCAATTCAATGTTCTGGGAACTGCACTGAAAAAACAAATTGGGAAGTATCACCTAAATGCAACCTGAGATGCAAGATGTTTTTTATTAGTCAGCAATGATGCTCTCAAAAGGACCCAAACGTATGTGCATAATCTTTCATCAATTTGAAGTTCTTACATAGTTCCCACTTCTACTTCTCAAAAATGACTGATGATGTGATGTCCATATTTTAAAGAATGCAAGAAACAAGTCAACAACATCTTTCAAATGGAGCAAACTTGTGTGCGTGAATGACCTCACCTGTTATAAATATACTTTTATTTCCAATGGGCCCTTATGAGAGCCTTTGTCTTAGTATGCCTTCGATTTTGTACTCATACCGTACAGTCTTCATTTAGCAAATAGAGAATTTATGGGCAGAAAATGAAATGAAATTTTGAAGCACTGTGCAACAGGAAGCAACATAGTATCTTCATTGCAGCAATCACACTGTGTTAATGCTGATCCAAACAATTGAAAACTAAAAGCACAGTCTGAGAAATTTACACTAAAATGGAAGGGTTGGAGCTACACATGCATGCACATGAGTGCCTCACATGCTGATGTGTGCAACTCCATTATTAGTAATTATGAAATGAATAAAATAGCTGTTGGAGGAGTCCTTCCTTCAGGAAGCTAAACTGAGTGCAGATCTCTGAATTTACCTGCTGATTTCACATGCTACTCGTCCTTTCATCTCAATAACATCAGCCACAGTGGCATAGCCTAGTCTGCGAATGACTCGTTTCCTACATTTCAACTCCTCCAACTGAATCACTGTCTTAGCTCGTTTCAGCTCACGCTTTGCAGCTTTGACCTCTGATGCAAGCTAAAAAAAACAGATGCATAAAAAGTATGTCAACTTGAACCTTTAAACCACTTCAATCTGTCCACCAGGAGAATGTTTGGTGTTCAATACATGGTTCGCTATTTACCACATTAAAGCAAGGGGAGCTACATAACACCTGAAGAAATGCTCTAATGCACCCTCAAAACTCAATTCACTGAAAGCCTTGCATATTAAAGTGCTGTCTATGCAGAGGGCACTGGCAAGAGTTTAATGTGTGGATACAAAACTCCTCTTTACCCAGTGGGAAAAAAATCTTGCAGGGCCAATAGGGTACATTGTTTTTGTAATATCCAATACAGTTGGGTCTGGTGATTTATGGTCCTTATGTATGAGGTGATAGTATATGTGTGTATGAACCTAAACAATTGATCCATTTATCAAAGGTAAGTATATGGACTAGTCACAATAATACGAAACACGTGTTTCCATAGCTTTAAATAATACTACAAATGTATATATAGTACAGAAATAAACAAAACAGTGAAAAGGTTTATTCTAATTCCTGCATGATCTTTACAAGTTAATTACAACTTGGGTGGAATCAAAGCTATTGGAAACTTTGATGGTACCCTTTCAAATATAAAAGGAAACTGGAACACTTTTGTGATACTTCTCATTACAGCAGAAAGGGTAATGATGCACACAAAGGCATAAGTAGAGCCATTTATTTGAGCTTTCTACAATTAAATAAAGTATGAAATTATGTAATGGTCATAACACCCTATTTTACATTTAGCAGAAGTGATTTGGGCAAGGCTATTTGCATTTCAAAGATTTCACTGGCACCAGCTTTGACCTTCTAGGTTATTAAAGAAACAAAGACATTTTCAATTTCATACCTTTGCTTTCTGTTCATACTGGCTGTATAGCTTCTGTACATCAGGGCTTTTGTGTAATGGATGGCTGTACATTCTCTCCTCAAATGCTTCAATTTTCTGGAAAAGAGAAAAAAAAATCACAAAAGACAACTAGTAATCATTGTGTTTTGCATAGTTGGGAAGGAAACCAAAACGTGTGTAAAGACTGCAACCACTGGGGTACCCCAAACATCAACATCAGATTGCTACAAAAGCCATGAATGTACACATGTGCCTGTATCTGGTACTTGGGAACTGTGTGTGTGGTTTCCTTTCCATCCAGAAAAAAGCTATGATTTTGACAGGATTAATATGGGCCAAAATGTCTTCAAACTTGGATGTCCCCCAGCCAGGTGAAAAAAGTGGGAAATTTCACCACTTCTTGGTATAACATTTGTCCCAGACACCATGCTTTTGAACAGTGAAACTGCATGCAGATCAACATAGTTGTTGGGAGGCATAAACAACTGTACTGATTGCAAAGTCCTCAATTTTTTCCTGTAACTTTTCACATTTTGCTTGTGGAACCAAAGATTGGGTTCATTCAGGTGAACCTCCATTATGGCAATATAGGTATGATAGGGTTCATTATGGGTCACAAGGGGAACGATTGCTTCATTATGTCTCCCAATACCTCCACAACCTTCCTAAGATTTTCATCTTTGATGCCCATGTCCTCAATTGGGTCCAGAAGCGGCAGACTATCAGGAAATCTTCTCTGAACTTCCTATTCAAAACATGAAGGAATTATGCACATATGAATGGCAAGGAACAGTATGCGTACGGTGTTAACAGTCCTACTGAAAAACCAGAGTTTGAATTTTTCTTTCATTGTGCAAAATATCAATTTCTGCTCACTGTGTGGATGAGCCATAATATAACATAACAACCATTAGGCTTATGAACTTTTAATCAAAACCTGACTTTTAAGAGTTTAGATTTTATGTACTGCATGTATGAAATACGTCTCAAATGGCATTGACTGTAGAAATTTTGACATAGATTAAGGCAAGTTAGTTATCCCTTTTGAGGCAATTTCTGGCAGCTTTCGTCCCCAGTCATGCCATTCAATTGGCACAAAAAGCTGACCCCCCAAACTTTCCGACTTACAGATCAGAAGCGGAACTCTTTTTTTGGCCTCGTGAACTTTTGTAATTTTTATAACTATGGCAATTTAGCCATTACTATTGGTCAAGTGCCTGTCATGTGACTGGTCTTAAATAGCTGATAAAGCACTAGTTGGCTGTGCACCACCTCACATAGTGTGTGTCACACATGCACCAATCTCCATATAAGAAGCCTGCTTATGACCACTCAAGGGAGGCACATACCATAACATGGGTAGAGGGGTGCTTGATAAAAACATGAAGTAAAATTGTTCAACAGAATTGTCGGAAATCAAGAATTGTACCTGTTTTCTACCTTCTGACACAAAGTATATCATGAATGGGAATAACTATGTGTTGGGCCAGTCCTGATTGTTCATTTTAGACCAGCATGGGAATGGAGGCTCTGACATTGTCCCTCACTGGCTCAAGATATCATGAGCGTCCATTCTCCCGGTAAGATCAGCCCAGCACGCATCTATTCCCTTCTTTGAACACTTCCAAACTACAGGCTGTCAGCAAACATATAAATCCTAACATGAAGCACTTCATAGAGTTTGTACTGAGAGGCATGACTAACCACTAAAAACATATTTAGTGAGGTACAATGCCAGGTGCCAATGCATGAATATAAAATTATACAGAAAATAACTGATAACATGTGAATAAAAGGTATTACGTAAATTGACACTGGTCAGTATACACACTGTATTTCACATTATTTGATTTCAATTCATTCCACACTATACCATGTATAGAGAGATCACTGGCTCATCTACATGTAGT